AGGAAACATTGATCAGTTGCCTCCCATAGGCGCCCTGACCGGGGACCGAACCGGTGACCTTTCCGTTTTCTGGACCAGGTTCCAGCCCACTGAGCCACGCCAGCCAGGGTTCTGCTATTTACTTTTGTGACTCTTCTTTCCTCTCCTTTCCTTGTTCCCCACTCTTCCTGACTCTTACCTCCTTTTTCAACACCTTTCATTTGTCTTCCCTTTCACTTACCTCAGGTGAGAGAGAGAACGTATGTAGGGGAAATGTTTGAAAACAAGGAATACAAGGAAAAGCACATCGAATATCATACTCAAATTATGATCCTTTCCTAGAGGCCTCTTTGAAATGAAAATCTGACCAAACCACTGGCCTTCTTGTTGCCAGCTTTAACTCAAAGCTACTACCTCTCCAAAATACTCAGTCCTCCCTCCAGACCCGCATTCTGTCTCATGTGATATCAGAAAGGAGTAAATGTATTAAAAGTTAAAAGGAGATTTATCCTTGCGGAGGCACCTTCTAATGTCTTCCTCAGAACAATGTTTTTACCGTATAACGCCCACCCCACTCTGTGTACACCAGGGTGCTCACTCCTTCAGTGTTTGCTTTCTTTATGCTTTTAAGTTGCTTTTTCACGCTAGAGTTCTCAAGGACTTAGCCTATTTGAATATTGTTATCCAAATTATTAGAAGTCTAATTTTTTTCAATTTATTTTAATTAATTACTTTTTTTTTAGAGAGAGAGAAATACTGATTTCCTGTTCCACTCATTGGTGCATTCACTGGCTGATGCTTTCTCGGGCCCTGACCAGGGATTGAACCCACAACCTGGGTGTATCAGGGCAACGCTCTAACCAGCTGAGCCGCCCAACCAAGGCCTGAATCTGAATTTTTATTGTTCATTTGAGGTTAGTTATTGCCTTGTGCCTCCTCATAAAAACTGACCTATCCAGTAAACCATCCTAACATCTTTACCACATGTTGTATAACGTAGCCAATCTAATAAACTAAGTTAATAATTTGTTATGGAGAAATCTCCGTCCCTCTTTCCTCTCCCCTATGAGGTCAAGGTACTTGGCCTCCAAGCAGCATAGGTAAATTTGAAAGTAGTTCTGACGGACATGAAGCAGGCCCTACAGATGTGAATTTCAAGTCAGCTAAGAGGGAAGGGGGGGCCAGGTGTGGACGTGCAAGCAGATAAGGACGCTGCCTGTATGTGGGGAAGTCCTCAGAAAAATGGGGAAGAGCACGGAGGGTTTGCAAAGCTGGTTTTTCTGCACTTCCAGATAAACAAAGGAGTATAACAGGCCTGACCTTGAGAGGGAATCTTTTTTATGTTTACCACAAAAATTAACTCAAAATGGACCATTCATTTAAATGTAGTATGCAAGACTATAAAACTTCTAGAAGATAACATAGAAAACCTAGATGCACTTGGGTATGGTGATCCCTTTTTAGATAAAACACCAAAGACGTGATCCGTGAAAAAAGAAAAATATGTCGGGCTTACTTAAAATTAAATTTTCTGCTTGGCAAAAGACAAAAATCAAGAAAATTAGAAGACAGCCGTGGTTGGTGTGGCTCAGTGGATTGAGTGCTGTCCTGAGAACCAGAGGGTTGCCAGTTCGATTCCCAGTCAGAGCACATGCCTGGGTTGCAGGCCAGGTCCCCAGTAGAGGGTATGCAAGAGGCAACCACACATTGATGTTTCTCTCCCTCTCTTTCTCCCTCCCTTCCCCTCTGTCTAAAAATAAATAAATAAAATCTTTTTATAAGTAGATAAATAAATAAATAAATAAATAAATAAATAAATAAGATTGTATCCGAAATAAACAAAGACCTCTTGAAATTTCATAAGAAAATAATCTGACTTAAAAATGGACTAAAGACCTTAACAATTTACCAGAGAAGATATACAAGTGTAAGCATGAAGAGGTGCTCCACATCCTATGTCACTAGGGACATGCAAATTAAAACAGGGAGATACCCCTACACACCTATTAGAAAGGCCAAAACCCTGGACACTGACAACTCCGAATTGTGGTGAGAATCTGGGGCCCGGGGAACTCTGATGCACAGCTAACGTCAACGTAAGAGACATTGGCACCTACAGAGAATTTTTGTGAGTTTATTTGAGCCCAAATGACCACAGTTGCTGGGAAGCAAAACCTCAATGACTGGAGATAATGCTCCGGAGAAGGGCAGTTTAGCACCTCATTTGATACATTACAATCAAAGGAAGAGACAAAAGGGGGTTATGTGAAGTCCATTGGTCAGGGAGGCGGTGCAAGCAAAGCGGGGTGGGGGTTGGAGACGTCTGGGGCTGGATAAAGGGTAAAATCACATAGACACATTCTTCTTTCACAAAGGTGAGTACAGGATAATTCACAGTCAACAATTAGCGTGATAACAATGACAACGAGGGGTTTTGTAGTCTCAGCTCTGGTGAGGTGGTTGTACCCAAGGGGTTCAGAAAAAGGGACTTCACCTTGACATTCCAAAGACATGTTATCATAGATGCAAAAAGATAATAGGCTCAGTTAAGATAAAGACTGACCTTTGTCAGGGAAAAATACCCGCCTACGACAGGACCGCCTGCCAGGAAACTGCTTTCAGTTAACAACATTCCACTGCAGCCCGTCCTTGGCAGTGGTGGCTTGCGGTCTCTGAGTCTGCCGGGCTGCCTCTCAAGCCTCCCTTGAGCTTGTCAGGTTAATAAGCGTCCACACTGGTGGGAATGCAAAACAGTACAGCCACTTTGGAAGACAATTTGGCAGTTTCTACAAAACATATTCTTGCCATATGATCCAGCAAACTCACTCCTTGGTATTTACCCAATGGAGATAAAAACTCAAGTCGGCACAAAAACCTACACACAGATCTCTGTAACAGCTTTATTGACAACTGCCAAAACTTGGAAGCCACCAAGATGTCCTTCAGTAAGTGAATGGACAAATGAACTGTGGTATATCCAGGCCACAGAATAGTATTTGGTGCTAAAATTAAATAAGCTATCAAGCCATCAAAAAAAAAAAAAAGAGCACGGGGGAAACTTACATGCACATTACTGAGAGATGAACCAACTTGAAGAGCCTGCATAGTGTATAATTCCAAGTGTATATGACATTCTGGAAAAGGCCAAACGATGGAGACAATAACAGGGCTGGTGGTTGCCAGGGGAAAGGGTGGGGGAGGGGTGACTGGGAGAGCACAGAGGACTTTTAGGGCACACGGCTGCTATGTTCCATAAAGCAGCCAGAGAAGAAAGAACCGTTTGAGCCGAGCGCCAAGTAAAGAAAAACTGTCCTGGGAAGAACAAATGGTGCTGGGCCCTGAGGCAGGAGTGGATGGTGACTGGAGCGACCAAGGGGGCCTGCGTCGCAGGGGTAGACGGGTGGGAGAGATCCGGGGGAGAGCACAGGATCGTGTGGGCCCTGGAAAGGATTTCGGATTTATACAGCAGTAAAAATGAAACTAATGATTTCGGTAAATGTGTATGCTATAACTTTGGTGAAGAAATGCTATTTGACATTTTAAGAATCATAAGCATTTTGGAAAGCTTGCGAAAGTTCTTGGTGAAGGGCAGATACTGCAACTGCAAATGGATCAGGCACAGAGCAGCGCTGACAGGGACCCGGTGCCAGAGGACAGGGACACCCCAATGGCCAGGGCTGGCGCTGGTGCTCTCTCTTCCTAAGTGCTGTTTTCTAGATCACCGTCCACTGCTGTTTTTCTCCCACCCTCCATTTCTGTAGAGCCCCATCCCGACCGTAGGGAAAAAGTGATCATTTTCCTTCTGAATAAAGTCTAGATAACACTCATAATTTGGATCCCATAGCCTTGCTACTGTAAATAGAATAAAAGAAACCATTTTGAGTTTTACTGAATTTGAATCCTATTGGCCATGTTCATTTATACTAGAGCTACGGCAAATCTCTAATTTTTAAAAATATATTCCAATTAGGTGAAAATGAGACTGTACATTCCTTTGCATGCCTTTAGTCACTGTGAGATTTATTATCCGTTTACGTTATTTGTGCATTGTGTTCACATCTTTGCTCATTCTTCCGTGGTCTTCTTCCTCACTAATCTACAAAGGCTAAGAGAATATTGCTGCCTGCACGTTTTATGTGATGACTGCCCTGCTCATACCACGTCTGGACACTTAGACCAGACCTTGAGTTTAGGCTTCCTGCTCCCAATTCCAGCTTTGCTTTTCCCAAGCTACCTTTTACAATAGCCACTTAAGAGTTAGGCCCTCAAAAATTTGTGATCTCCACCCCGCCACCTTAAAGGTAATAGGTGCTTGCTCCCCTGCCCTCTCTGCCCTGCTCCCCAAGATCTGGGATGGAAGGCTGCCCTTGCCAGCTCGTTGCCCCTCCCCACCCCCGTCCCTGTTTCTGGGATCTGTCTGGAGTAATGAGCCTGTGACGCTACGGCCTTTGTTGTGAAAGTACTGAAACTGTGCCCTGGGTCAGAACGGCCCTGTGGTTTTCACTTCCCCAAGGTGGGAGCTGGGATGCTAAGGGAGCTCCTTGCCAACTGTGTGGGTTGCTTGCTCCTTCTCATTCACCAGGTCATAGTCTGCGTATTATTATTCCAAGGCACCAGCTCCGCTTCTCAACACAAATACCCATTGACCCTGGCGTTGCTGGTTTGCTTTCTGATATTTTTGATCTAGAAAATGCCGGTGTCAGTGAATACGTTTTCTAGTTCCCTCCTTTATGTTTACGAAGGCTTTTCTACCCTGACATCATTATTTACTGATCCTCCGGTTCCCCTGCCCCTTTTATTTACCCATGTGTTTAAAGCCTCAGGGCAGCGGCATCCACTTGGCATTGGCTCGCTCTGCAGAGGAGCCTGCAGTGACGCAGCATCTCTATGCTTTATGAGAACGAGCGCATCCTTCGTCCCACCGCTTCCGATTTGGAACCTCAGTCGTGCACCCCATTTCCTGCCACGATATCCATTCGCCTTCTTTATTCGGCTGCCTAACAACTTTTCCTCTTTCCCAGGCATCTTAGAGCCCCGATGGCAAACTTCAAGGGCCACGCTCTCCCAGGGAGTCTCTTCCTGATAGTCGGGCTGTGGTGGTCAGTGAAGTACCCCCTGAAGTATTTTCATCAAAAGGGGAAGAGGAACCAGCTGGCTCGTCACTATCAGCGTCTTGAGATCATTGAGGCTGCGATCAGAACTTTACTTCCGGTCATTGGTAAGAACAGAGGCCGCCTGGTCCAGGGGGTGTCCCCATCATACTCAGAACCTGCAACCCATTTTCTGGGCCCTGTGAAATGAATGTTCCCACTGGCGGAGATGAAAGGAAAAGGATTTGGGGTTGTGTGCTGAGCTTTTTAACGTTATCAGTCAATAGCACGCTGCATCTGAGCGCACTGCGGAAAACTACCAGATGAACTGCAGTCTCGGTCCTGGAAGGGCGTGGGTATAGGACGTAGGATGGAAAACATACTTTATGAAAAAGACAAGAGAACAGAAAACAAAAGAATAAGCATGAGTGATGAGAAAGTACTAAATGAAGTTTAGTTTTAGGAAAATCCGCCCCTTTTTTCCCAACTGTCTCTCCACTAGAATCTCAAGAGTGAACACCCTACTCATGGGCATGTCCTCCCTCTCCAAATCTCAAGCAAGTATGGAGAGGGGAGTTCATGCTGCAAGGCCAGTGAGAGAGACGGTGGAAGAGACCGACAGGCCCCCAGAGGGCTGTTGGGGGGCATCTTCCTTCACCCTGCCTCGTGCCAACAAACCCTCCCACTTCCATTTGTCATCTGTTCCCTCTACCCATGGTCCTCAAGGAATGACCGGCACCCATGGGGGTCTTATTCCGTACGTGCATTTGTCACTTACCATCCCTGGCCTACAGTTTTCTGGGAGGAGCTGAAGCAGTAACAGTAGCTTCTCTTGGAATTGGCAAAAGTACACAGCTTGGTTTGCCCGGTCCGGCTGGATTTGCCCACTTGACAGCCACGCGGGCCGCAGAAAGGCTTTCTCGTCTTTCTGGAGCTGAGAAACGACGGGGACCATGTGGCAGAAGTGGTGCAGCCAGCACCGACCCGGCCTAAGTAAAGCTGGAAGCACAGCATCTCGGTCCTGGAAGGCCCTGGAAGGGCGTGAAAGTAATAGTCATCCGCCAATCATTCCTTGGATTCCCGCCATGTGCCGGGAACTCCCTGGCGTACGTGCTGAGGTTACAGTGGGGAGCGAAACAGCCTCTGCTCTCACGGGCCTTCCACTCTAGTGTCACTGGGGCCTCCCTTCCCTGGGTTGTTTTCCCCAACTCGACCCTCCGCACGTAGATTCAGAGAGGGGCTGGGTCTGAGCGCAAGTGTTTGGGGAACGGGGGCCAAAATCCTGACCTGGAGGATTTCTTTAGGCCCCGTGAACATTTTGGGCACAGGCACAGAGAGGCACATCTTCTGCCTGCCACAGCAGGTGACAGGAGAAGGGGTGAGAACTGAGACCACCGCCGTGGCCCACCTTCTGGTCCCAGTTGCTAAACTTGGCCTCTCCTAAGATGCAGTGTGGTCAAAAGTGCCCAGATCAAGTGCTTAGGACACCGAGACCCAAAGCTATGGGAAGAGCCAAGCCCAGAGCCCAGGCGGGGCCTGGGAAGAGCGCTCATGGGACGTCTGCCCCGACAGGAACACCTGGGGGCTGCTTCCCTCCCTCAGGTGTGGCCAGGGGTCCTCACCCGGCTGTCTGTCGGCTCAGACCCTGTTGTTTTCGACCTAATGGTTCCTCTCACTGCTCACTGGGGCAGGGAGCCCCGAGATGAAATTATCTGCCATGCTCTCCCTTCAGTGACAATGCCTTACTGTCGTCTGAGCTACTGGACAGGTGTCCTGTGAAACCGTGCGGCTACGTTTCTGCTGCTTCTCTCCCGCCCCCCATGGGTCCCCATGCAGGGAACAACAGCAACAAAGGCTACGCAGTTTCCTCAGGAAATACCTTTGCACCGAAGCAGCAGGGTGGGTCCAGCGGACCCCTGGCCAGCGTCACCCCCGTCCTGACTTCACTCGTGACTCGGGCTTGTTTTTCACAGTCATGTGTTTGTCTTAGAACGCCTCTTCCCTCCTCAATTTCCATCCTCATTTCCCTGCAGGGATCCTGGCAGAGCAGTTTGTTCCGGATGGGCCCCACCTCCACCTGTACTCGGACAGCCAGTGGATAAAGCTGATGAACTGGCAACACAGCACGATGTACCTATTCTTTGCGGTCTCAGGACTCACCGACATGCTCACCTATCTCTTCAGCCACATCCCCTTGGGACTTGACAGACTGGTCATGGCTGTGGCGACATTCAATGAAGGTAATCTAGCGGTAACGAGGGGAGAAGGAAGAAGCCGACGGGTTGTGATTATGAGGACTTGGGGCACAGTAGACTGAACTATTGCAAATATACTATCCCGCCCCGGAAAAATGCAAATCTCTGACCTTCACCTTGAGCAGGCTTGGCCCCATGCTCTGGATGGTATAGGCAACATGCTTCATAAAGCAGCACATGAAAGCACAAGGCTTTTAGGCAAAGCCACCGGCTAACAGCGCACAAACCCCACCCTCCGCCGCTCAGGCACTGAGTTCTTGTGTGCACACCTACACAGAAACACACAGCTGTCCGGAGACGGGGCGAATGCCACTGTGCAAGAGTGTGACTCCCTGTGGCTTGGGAAGAGAAACTCCCCACTGCACCCCGACCCCGCAGTGCTGCTGTCTAGACCCCATCACAGACAGGAGACTCACCCAGAGGCCAGGACAGATCTCCCAATAGAACTCATATTAAATGGGTCATAAAAAAGCATTTTTTAAAAAAAGACATGGTTACATTTTTTTAAAGACTTTATTTATTTTTAGAGAGGGGAAGGGAGGGAGAGAGAGAAACATAGATGTGAAAAACATCAGTGTGTGGTTGCCTCTCACACACCCCCAACTGGGGACCCCACCCACAACCCAGGCATGTGCCCTGACTGGGAATCGAACCAGTGACATTTTGGTTCACAGGCCGGCACTCAATTCACTGAGCCACACCAGCCAGGGCACAAAGCATTATGTAATCCAACAACTTCACTTACTTCTGTACCTCAGGAAGAGTTGAAAAAAGGTGAGTGAGGGCAAAACGGAATTTCAAGTAAACACACACACAATTTGCCGTAAGTCAGCAGCGTTTCACCTACCCATCCTGTCTTGAACCCTGCCACAGATTCTGTAGAGATGTAAAACTATATCCTGTGCTGCTTACACCCACTTTACACACACAAACTGAGTTTCATCTGCCTATGGGTTGTCCTGTAATGTTATATAAACTCACTTTCCAAGTACTGAGAAACCCGGCTTTGAGAAAATTCTAGTAACAGAGAAAGTGCAGAACGAGCGCTCTGCCGCAGACATGGGCAACTCTGACGGCCGTGACCGGCTTCTCGGCAGGTTTCCTCTTCTACCACCACGTCCACAACCGGCCGCCGCTGGACCAGTACATCCACTCCCTCCTGCTGTGTGCCGTGTTCGGAGGGGCTCTCAGTATCTTCGTGGAGGTGATTCTTCGGGACAATATTGTGCTGGAGCTTTTCCGAACCACCCTCACGATCCTTCAAGGCTCCTGGTTCTGGCAGGTAGCTGTCCCAACGCTGTGTGGGTTGAGGGGAAGTCCCGAGGATGCAGCACTAACACGCCACGTGGGTGGGCTCAGAAGGCCACGCTCCGTACCTTGCCTGCCCCTGGCCGTGTAACTTTCTCCACGAATGCCCTGTGGGTGTGTTAATGAGCCCGATCTGTGCCGCACACACAGCCGGCAGGGTGCACCTTGCCCTACCTGCCCGCCCGCCCCAGTGTCGGAGGCACCGACACAGTCCACAGGGTCCTCCTGCTCACCCGTCCACCTGAGGTTTGGTTTGCAGTAAGCCTGTCCTATAACCAGAGTTAACCTCGTCATTCTCCTGTGCAAAAAGGTCTTTCTGTGCTAACGCAGGTATGGGAAATGAGGTGCTGGGGAACATCCTGTCTGGTGACCTCAGGAAGGAAGCGTCGACGACAGGGCTGACTTCTCTGTATATTTCACCAGATTGGGTTTGTGCTGTTCCCGCCTTTTGGAGAACAAGAATGGGACCAGAACGACCACTCAAACCTCATGTTCATCACCATGTGCTTCTGCTGGCACTACCTGGCTGCCCTTGGCATTGTGGCCGTCAACTACTCTCTTGTCTACTGGTATGTCCACAAGATGACCTTCGTCCAGTCTCCCCATCCTGACCAACCCTCTGCCCCTGAGGTGTGTCACACTGTACCAGCGTCATTTCCAGGGACCCCCCTTTCATAGCTGAGTAGTAATTTCTGCCACTTTGGTACCAACTAAGTGCCAAGTTCTGTGCAAGCAACCGCACACCTACAAGTGAGGGTGGCGAGGCTGTCAGAAGGTCAAGGCCCTGACTGGTACGGGAACCTGTGGGAGAGCCAGGCTGCAGAGGCAGTTCTGACGGACTGCAGACCAGGGATGTGAAGGAGACAGTGTGCACTGGGCTTCAGCCCCAGACTGCAGTGCCTGCTCTGTCCCCCACTCACCTAGAGCCCCTCACAGATTCCTGTCCCTGAGACCTTGTGACAATCAGGTAACGCAGGTGGCAAGTGCTCTCTCTAAAGCACTCTTCAGAGATAATAGTGTAATTCCTATGCACTTAGTTTGCCCCTTTGGCATATTACCCAGCTTAACCTGCATCACTTTACGAGTGAAATATGCATGGTCACATTCTACAGATGGGAAGACCAAGGCTTCAAAGGACTAACTTGGTCAAGGTCACCCAATGAGGAAACGGCACAGCCTGCCTTTCTCCCAGCTGTCAAACGGCCCACAGGGCGAGAGTGACTTTCGGCACAAGGTGGTAGTAGTTCCGCTGTGCCGTGGCTGCCCTACCCTTTTCCCTGGCCCCTGATTTCCCTACCCAACGCAGACACACTTCGCCCTGAGGGGACTCCACAGAGGCAACAGTTTTAGTTCATAGGTCACAGTTTTTTTTAGTTCTACTGCCCAGTCAGTGAAATTAAATTAAAAAAAAAAAAAAAAAAGTGGGAGACCTAAGTTTAGTCTCAGTTACAACATTAAGTATTAAATCATGGTGTCTTCATCTACCAACAAATGCTGGGAAGTCAGACATGCAATCTCGTATTTGATAGAGACATAAAGGAAATGTTTTAAGAACGATCAGATGCCCGCACATTCTTGGATGAACAAGTAGGGAGTTTGGGGGCTCACTTGTCTGTCTCCCTGTCTCTCTCCTACAGCCTTTTCACTTGGCTAAAGAAGCACAGGGAAGGAGAAATCATTGGGATTCAGCAGCTGAAGTCAGACCACATTGCCCAGAAGGCCCTCTTGAGTGGCTCAGACGAGGACTGAGAAGCAGCCATTGGTCATAAATGGCGTCCATTTGAGCAGAAACAGGGAGAGTGTCCCCAGGGGCCGCCTGTCGCGGCCACTGCAACGCTCATGCTGGTCTGTACTGCGTCTCTCCACACCTGCGCCTGCTCCTTGAATTAGCCAAAGTCTGTGTGGGCGTGTACCCTCCATAAAGAGAAATGAGGTGAGCCTTCTCTGTGGCTCCAAGTGAAATCGGAGACCCTAAAGCTGCAGGACAGGAAGTAGCCTCACGGATGGTATGAACCCAGCAAAACTCACCGCTTTTGATAACACATCCCTTTTCCTCCCAAGAAACAGGAACTTTCGTATTAGAAAGTGAACAACAGTGCCTTTATTGTACAGATGCAATTCTAACGTGTATTTTTGCAAATAATTCACAAGCTTTGGTGTGTTAAACATCTCCTGATTATAAATTTCAGAGAACTGTAATACCACTGCTGGTAAGTGACAAAGCTAAGCCAAAGGTGATTTTTATTTTTTAAATCAGGAAGCTGGTTAGTGGCCCAGCTGGGAGCTGGGACCAGGTGTTCTGAGTCCCCCTAAGAGGATGCCAACAGGACACCTGTATGATGAGGGAGAGAGAAAAATGGCAGGTTATGGAAGGCCCCGACTTTACGGCTAAACACAAAGGGTAAGAATCCTGCAAAGAACGTGAAGCTTGAACTAGTCAATACAAGTCTTGTCACTCTAGTCTTGGTTCTATGTTTTTTTCTTTTTCTTTTAACTCCTTCAACAAGTATTTATTGAACAGCTACTCTGCACCAGCACTGACATGCTTGTACAGATTAAGAAGTGTGTGTCCAGCAAGGAATTCACGGTCTTGTGGGAGATGCAAGCAGTGACAGACAGGGGGGCAGGTGCCACAGCGGTAAGTAAAACCGCCATGAGAGACCGAGGAGGGAGGACGAGCAGGGAGCTGCCCCGTCGGAAAAGCACTTCCCGGGCACAAAGGCAACTAGAGTTCACAGAGTGGAACAGGTTAGGGCAGGGGTGTCAGACTCATGTTCACCGGGGGCCACATCAGCCTCAAGATGGCCTTCAAAGGGCCGAATGTAATTTTAGGACTGTGTAAATGTAACTGCTCCTTAACCAGGGGCAAGGATCTCTACATTCGGCCCTTTGAAAACAACTGCGAGGCTGATGTGGCGCCCACTGCAAATGAGTCCAACACCCTGCGTTAAGTTCTCTCAAGTGACAAAGTGGGTCAGGCCAAATGTGAAGGTCCTTACAGGCCAAACAGTGCCGTCCACAGGCCTTTTTTGGACCTGAAATGTGTGTCTCGCTGGTTTCTCATCACAACCGCCTCTGGCATAAGTACCTCCAGTTCTCAGGGAAGCTGACTAGCCTAAGGTCGCACGGTTCTACTGAGTCGTACAACCAGCCCCCCAGGGACTCAGACGCCAGCTTCTGTCCCGCCTTCCCCTCTGCCACCCCCCACAAACTTGGCAGAGACCACGTACACAAAGCACCGTGTGCGCTTTGGAAGAAATGCTGTACTCGGTGGAAGGGGACCTCCATGGCGAGCCAGCATTTCAGAGTTGAAGTCTGAAGTCACAGCTTAGAGGCTGAGGAGGAGCTACTTGAAAACACCTATTTAATCTTTAGAAGCAACCCACAGTTACCCTTTCAGGATCCACTTCGGTTTGTGGCCGAAACCCAAACATTCCCTCAGCAAGGACTGGAGGACCTCCTGCTGGCCGTCAACATAGCCCACGTTCCTTCCTTGGGCCCTGAAGGTGGGAAGAAAAATCCTGCTCTTGCGTTCGCTTCCCCAGCGGAGCTCCCCACTTTGATTTAAAGGGATGGGCAGGGTGCTTCGAGGAAATGCAGAGGCTTCTCCAGAAGGCGAGGGCAAGGGGGTGGGGGGCGCGGTGTGAAACCTTCACAGGACTGAGCAGCCCTGGTGTGAACACTCCCAGACATGGCAGTCAAGGACAGACCCAGGCTCAGACACGCGGTCTGAATAATTCCACCAACCTGTCAACCAGCGGCTCAAAGACCTCATGGCCGCCACAGGTTCCTCTGGAGCTGTCCCTCGACACATACCCACCAGAGCCACCCCCTCTGTGCGACCAGAGGTGCGACCCAAGGAACCCTGTTTGGCGCCCATGCTGGTGGTGTCCCTCATCCCGGGAAGCCCGACCTGCACTGCTGTCCTGACACCTGTGTCCTCCTTGGGTGTAAACATCTGCGGCCACGAGCAGACGGGCAGTCGGGCTCGCTAAACACAAGTGTGGGGTGAGGCTGGGGCTGAAGGTTGGAACTCCTTTTAGTTGTTCTGAGAACTGAAGTCGTTCATTAAGTGCATTCAGAGGGAGGTAATTTTAACCAGCAGTAAATAGCTGAGACAGGATTCCGCCAATGTCTACCTTTTTCCCATTTAGAAACCCTGCCCTGTACTTTTCTGTGAACTGTGACTCTAGGGGACGGTGACGTGCACATATCGAGATAGCACACACAACAGAGGCAGCCTCCTTCCGGCAGGTCGCAGGCCAGCCTGGCTCCTTCCCTGCGGCCTCTCCTGCTCGCCTCTGTACCAGCTCTCTGCCCCTTAGAAAGCTCCCCCTTACCTCAGCTGACTCTCCTCCGCTCCTCGTAATCCATCCGTGCTTACCACTCTCAGCTCAGGATCCTCCCGAGCCTCATCGTCGGACACGTCACAGCCCTTCTCTTCTCGGGAAGGCAGCCGGGAATGTCCTTGACTTAGAACCAGAACACTGGATTTAACACCCAGGTTCTCTTTACCTTCATTTTCTCAGTTAAAAGAGGTGATAAACATTTCACGGAACTGCTTTAAGAAATACATGAGATATCTATGACACTTCTGTCACCCACCAGCCACTCTCCACGTCCCTGCTCCTCTGCAACTTGCCTGATGACCAGCCCCCCTCAAGAGGCCGCCCCAGTTCTTGCCCTCCACCTCCTCACCCAGACCCCGTCAAGCTCATCACTGGACTTCCGCAGATGCAAGAAACATTTTTAATAATCTGGATACTTTCGAGAGTTAGGGCTTCTCTAACTCTCGGAGAAGCAGAAAAGCTTTCCCACGCACCCCTGGCCCCAATACAAACAGGCATATATACTCCTAACCGCCGGTGCTTTAATTCAATTTGACACTTCAAAATACCACTGCAAGCTCTCCACCAGGGGCTTGAAGGAGGCTCAGAAATACGAAAGCCTGGGTTAAATAACGTGTATCGAGACTGACAGGCAGCTCGTGCTGCCTAGCAGGGGCAGCTGCTCTCTTCCTGCCATCTCCACTTTGGAATAAAAGTCAGCAAAGTTTTAAAGAACCATACAGAAAGTATCATAGGCTGGAAGGCCATATGGTCTCTGTGGCATCCATTCAGTTCTGCCTTCAAATTGAAATCACCCACAGGTAATACATAAATGAATGGGCATGGGCTGTGTCCCAATAAAACTTTATTCACGAAAACAAGTAGCCAGTCCAAGAGCCTGCTGACTCTTGCTCTGGAACAAAGCAGAATGCATCATCTCTGAACTGAAACAGTTTGTGCTGCAAAAGCAGTATTTCCGCAGCTCTCACCTCCGGGATCCACCAGCAATGCACTTGACCTGTGTGCAAACGAGCCCGAGGAGGAGGACGGCCGGTGGGTGAGGGCACAGACTGCGGTCAGGACCCTGATGCCCCCCTTACAGAGGCCGTGCCCAACCAACCCCCTTTCAGGGGATGCGCACCATCCCCACTTCCTATGTCTCTTCCATCTCGGAGCCTCTCCATCACCGTGTAGTCACCAAGTTAGCCACCAACTTAGAAGGATCCTGCTATTCTCACATTCTGGTCAAAATAATAACCAGTTAAAAAAATAAGTTACATAAAAATTTATGGACACAAAACTCCTAACCAGACCATGAGTCATGGAGAAGAGCACAGTTAAAACATACGATCCACACCCGTCACGAGGCTCATTCACCGCCTGTGCTCTGTGCTGCAAGCCCTCCCTCGGCACCCAGCTCTCAGAAGAGAACTTCTGCTTGTGTGACAATTGTGACCTCACACAAGCTTGAAGAGCGGCTTCTGTTGCATCAGTACAGAGCAGACCTGGAGAGAACCTTTGTCAGTGCCCCCACGTGGAGTGTGGCCGCAAAGTCTCCGCCACTGCTGCTACCAGCCCCTGCTGGCTGCCCGTGGACAGGGAGGCCCAGAGGAAGCACGGACCTCCCGCCCCTTCCCCTCAGCGGCAGGGCCGGGTGTTCGGAGAGCCCTCTTTCTCCCAGAGTCACTGCTGTTCAGGCGCCTGCTTGGGAGATGGAGCTGTGGTCACAACAACAGTGGAGACCGCCTTGGAGGGATTCGCAGCTGTTCCCTGTTGAAGGTGGGAGGCGGGCACAGTCTGGATGCGCACCTGTGTGCGGAGAGAGCGTCTGATCAGCAGATGCAAATGCACTCACCGGCTGAGAACACACAGCAAAGGAAAGCGAGAAACCCGGTACGGTCAACAGTTCACCTCGGACCTCACCTGTGTGGCCTGACCTTGTTGCTGGAGCTGCTGCAATTGCTGGGCAGTGAGGAAACTCACAGGCTTGTTGCCGGCAATGAGCTTAGTGCCCGCTGGCATGGTGGTGAGGATGATGTTGCGGCCTAACCCACCGAGGCTGTGGATGGAAAGCAGGGCAGGGTGTTACCTCCCGCCCAGAACCAGGCCGTGTGTGGAGGGAAAATAGGGCGGTCTGGTGCCCAGTGGAAATCCCAGCATTCTGGACTGAAATGGAAACCATCTCATGAGCCATGCTTTCTGTCAGCTTCTCTGCTTCCGGGACGAGAGCAAAGAGCAGGCCCAAACCTTGACCCTGATGTCCACGCCTCGATTAACAGGAGTAACGGATGAATAGGGCCCCAGAGAGGTGTGTGCTTTTGGTCAGAAACCCACCCCCAAACAGCTCCCTTGAAACCATCAGAATGACTCCCTCACACCCTTTATCCCTGTTTATCAGGGCCACAGGAAGCCTAGGCTCCCGAGTAAATAAGCCCTCACGCCGCAGCCTACCACACCACGGGGCTCACGAGTGTGAGGGGGCCCTCCCCAGCACCCACGGTCGAGTCCCACCCCATCACAGCTCCCCCTGCCCCGTCAGTGCTTTTCTCTGTAGTCTGTCTCACCACCCCATGCCGTATTTTACTTTATTCTCACTCCCCAATTGAGGACAGCAAGGATTTGTGTCTGTTTTGATCAATGCTCCTGAAACAGCACGTGAAACAGTACTAGTTGCTCGAAAAATCGTGTTGAGCACAACAGGAGATGTGGAGGGAGAGGCCCCCGGGGCGCCCTGCCCAGCCCTCACTAAACAAGCACTCACTTGGCTCCGAGGTTGCCTTTGATGATGGGGGCTGTGACCACGCTCTTGCCCTTCATCGGCTGGCTGATCACAGAGAGTGGGACCGTGATCCGCGTAGGCAGCTTCCCCTAGAGAGGAGGAGGAGACCAGGACATGAGGAACCAGAAGCCCGAGTCCAGGGCTACCAGAGCCGAGAGCCTGCACTCAGCAGCTCCCGGTCCCCGTGCCTGCGGGGCTCCCATGGTCAATCAGCTGCTGCTCATGGCTGCAGGTAAGGGCTCCTATGCTACATTGAGGGTCACCTGATCTGTCTGTCAATATTCTCTTTCTCGATACCTAAAGCACAGTCACCATGTAGGACCGCTCTCATCGGGAGTAAACGTGCACCTAGACCGGAAGGAAGATGTGGGCTCAATGCAGCACGGTGAGCCTCCGGGCTCCTGGGGCCTGCTCCTGAGGGGCCCCCCTGCACTCAGCCCTCCACAGCTGCCCCAGCTGTGGGGCGGCACACGGGCACTCGGGGGTTAACTCAGAACGCTCACGCCTGCCGCCCCCTGACCCCTGACGGCCACGCCTGCCTGCTGCCTGCCTGCTGCCTGCTCCGCAAGGGCCACGCTCTCCAGGTGCTTTCTGTTTTTCCCAGAGATAAGAAGAGGTCAGTCAGGGGTGACTAATCATAAACTCAACCAGGTCAAAGTCCAACCTCAAAGCTAACAAGGCCCAAGGAACAAAAAGTTGAAAAGGCCTCGTTTTGGGGATTTCAGGATGGCTAAGATTTGGTAATAGCATCCCCTGTTTTTAGGTTACCTGGTTTTTTAACCCTTGGTTGCTAATAAAATTTATATACAGTAAAATCCTCTGATGCGAGCCCTGGTCAGGTCACTCAGTTGATTGCAGCGTCATCTCATACACCAGAAGACTATGGGTTTGATCTCTGCTCAGGATATATATAAAATACCTGGGCTGTGGGTTCAGTCCCCAGTCGGGGCACATATCAGAGGCAACCAATCAATGTTTCTCTCTCACACAGACTTTTCTCTCTCTCCCCCCCCCCCCGACCTCCTCTCTCTAAAATCAATACATACATCCTTGGGGGAGGATTAAAAAATGATTCAAGATTTACACATAGAGAGCAGAGTGTAGGGGGGAAGTGGAGAGATTGAACAACAACAACAAAAACAACAACTCATGGACACAAAGGCGTGGTGACTGCGGGGGGAGAACTTGGGAGGAGGGGTAGAGGAGGGGAAGGGGGATAGATGGTGAACGCTATGCAGTAGAGTTGTGTACCTGAACCCTGTGTAATTTTGTTAACCAGTGTCACCCCAATTAAGACGTTAAAAAGGAAAAAAATTTACTCCAGAGGGATGGTTTGATAGACTGCTAAAAAACTGCACGGACATTTCCTATGGGCGAGCTGGCTCTGGAGAAGCCAGGTGCTCGGGTGCAAGGCCGCATCGGAGCGGCAGCCCCCTAGGAAGCACCAGGAGATGCCGACCGGCAACAGCACGGTGCCTCTAGGTGGATTTACTTGTTTTATTTTCTTAATGCCTCAATGCAGGGGTGTCAGACTCACTTTCACCGGGGGCCGCATCAGCCTCGGGTTGCCTTCACAGGGCCAAAGGTAACTTCAGGACTATAAATGTAACTACTCCTTCACACTTAAGTGACAGCTACCGCCGGGTAGAAACAAGGTGCCGGGCCACAGAAAGCAAGGCGGAAGGCGGGATTCGGCCCGTGGGCCTTGTGTGTGCCACCTGTGCCTTAGCCACTTAAAAACATTTCAGGCCACCAGTACAGCAACTGGAGTCGTCCCTGCGTGAACTGGCCTAACTGGCAGACCAGACAGGGAAATCTCAGTACTTCCTAACCCACCGAATGCTCTCTGGTCATACAGGGTGGGGCAAAAGCAGGTTTCCAGTTTAAGTTCACAAAACACAGAGTTGACTCTTGTGTTAATATTTATTAATTCTTGTATTCTTTTCCACACCAACACCCGCAACCTGCTCTGCACCGCCCTGGTATGTACCAGAGCAGAAAGAGGGTGGAGGCCATGGGCGGCAGCTCTCTGTGTTGTGAGGAGGGCTCCCGGGAAACAGCAGTGGGCCAGCCAGCAGTCTTCCTTGCTCTGGCTTCTGGGACACGAGCACTTCACTGTTTCCTTCTAAGCCACACCTCACGCAACAGGGTCTTCTGGCTGGCTGGCTTCACTAACCTGTATGTCCTCCTCTACCACTCGGGCTTCTACCCGAACAACTGCGGTTTCACTACACAGCTCGTTCAAACGGGTAGCAGTACGTTTGACCCCGTCCACATAAAAACAGAACACTGCTCTTTACCAAGAAACCACATGAACACCCCTGCATCCAGAAACACACACCTGTTTTAACTCAAGGATTTGGTTCATGGTACGTGTAGTGTTAGTGGGGAAGGGATAATTAGTCAATGACGTTGGAATAATCTGAAAAACAAAATGAGATCTCTGCCACATGCTATTCTAAAAGTTACATTTCAAATGGATTATCGGTTATACTTTTCTTCAAACTCTGAAAATATTTCATGAGAATACAAGCTAATATCTTTATAACCCTGGGGTAAAAAGGCAAGAGACATAAAACTTAGGAACCATAAAAGCAATATAGATAGATCTAATCAGATAACATACCCATAGAGCAAAATGACAGAGTAAAGAAAATATTTTCTGCACAAAGAATTAACACCTAGAAGATATAAAGGGTCACCTCAAACTATGAAAAAGCCAACCACCCGGAAGAAACTGGCAAAGATGTTTTCGCTGCAAGAGAGCACTGGCCAGCGTCCACAGGACTGGATGCCCGACCTCACTGAGGGCCGGGGAAACAGAAAAAGAGCCCTCTCACCCCCCACGACGGCTACGCAGAGGTAAAGCCCCCACGGTGCCCAGCGCTGGGTAGGGCAGGAGGCTTGCGGACTGGCTTGTAAGCTGTTGTGGCCTTTTTGGCAGCACAGCCACGTGTCTGAACCTTCAAGGTGTTACCTGCCGTGGCAGCACCGTTCCTAGGCCCAGAGCGCCCTCCAACGGCTGGACAAAACGCATCCCTTCCTTGGACTACCTTGGTCTCATTCCAGAGAACACACTCAGTATCTGCAGGGGGTCTGGAATGATCCCCAAGGCATATTTTTAAACGCAGCAAACTGCAGAGCGATATCTAGACTAAGATCTCTCATAGGGATTTTTTAGCCACATGTACGTGTATAAAAACGCCCAGAAGAAAAGGACTAGACGGATAAACGCCAAGACACCCACAGACATTAGCCCTCAGGGAGGGAGAACTAGGGGGTTGTGAGAGAAATTTTGTATTTTACTCTAGGTACTTAGGTACTGTTTTAGTATTTTTGTAAGAACATGTGCAGGTACTACTTTCATAAATCTGTTTCAAAATTAAACACCAACGTCTATTAGTAAATAAGCCTGTTTGGGTCACCTGAGGTGACACAGGATTTCTGTTCCTGAAGGGAGAGGCTCCCCAAGGGGAAGGGCTACTCTTCACCACAATCGGTACTCACAGCCTGCGATGTGGACACCACCGTGGTGCTGACAGGGACCTGCCGCACAGTGGGGGCTCCCGTGCCAATGCTGATGGGGGTGCTGGCCGCCCCGGAAGCCACGGCCACAGTCTTGGACACAGCAGCATTCACGCTGGGCAGGGACACCGCCGAGGTATGGACAGTGCCAGACCCGCCGGCCACGGCAGGGCCCTGCTTGGCGTGGGCCGCCACTGTGATGGTCTGGCCTGCTTTCGGGGGCATCACTCCCAGGCCCTGCACGATGCGAATGGTAGCAGCTGGCTTTGCTTCTGAAGAGGCCACTGCGCTCTTGCCCTTCTGGTCGGCCACACTCACGCCAAGTGCTGGCATCAAGCGAAAGGCTGAGCTCGAGGCTTCTGCTGGCTTGAGGTCGGGAGTCACCTTGACCACAGTGGTACCCGTTGGTGTGGCTGAAGGGGCACTGGCGGAACTGGCCTTCGCAGGGCTGTCGGTGGCATGCACGGGATTGGAAGTGACATGTAAGGTAGCAGAGATGCCCTTGCCTGCGGTGCCGCTTCCTGCCCCGAAGAGGTCCTGGGTCAGCTTGACCGTGGTGACCTGGGACTTGGCCAGTGTGGCCATCATGTCCGGAGTGATCCGCAGAACCGTCTGGCCTTTGGCATCTGTGGTGATGGAAGAGGGTGGCAGACGCAATACATCTTTACCCTGGATACGAAAGTTAGTGGCTGCAAGTGGAATGCTGCTGCCCGTCTGGGGCTTCACGCCGAGCTGCCCGGTGACCGCCACCTGGGTGGGGAGAAACAGCACTGACCAAAGGGTTCGCAGTGGCACTTGGGTGCAGAGCACAATCAGGCAAAGCTCCGTTGTGTGGGCATGCGCGTTTCATGTATTTTTCTAACTTTTTATTTTTTAAATAATAAACATTCATGAAAGAAGAGAACAGTGTGACAAATCCATGCACCTGTCCCCCAGCTTCAAAGGTTATCACTTTGTCAGTCTTGTTCTGTCTACCCTTCCCGAGGTCTGGGGGGCTGAGAGGGGGGGATAAAGGAGGTGTGGGAATTTTTTAAGTAAACTAACACATAGCATTTCCCTGACTGATACTTCTGTACATATCTCTAACCTAGAAGACTTTCTGAATTTAAAAAGTCATGTACTATTACCCAGTAACATATATTCACATTTCCCCAGTGGTCTTAAAAACTCTGTTTGTAGTTGCGCCAACCTCCACCATGAGAGCTGTACAGCAGTGGGGCCCAGCCCCCGGACGCAACGGATGCAACCCTTCCAGCCTCGGGGATTCTCTGCCACACAAGCACCTGCTCCTCTCTGCTGCACCACTGCCACCGGAACGCAAACATGCTGTGACACGTTCCATCCGCCAACCCGACAAACCCCTGTGGGCTGCACATCTCCCCCACCCCCACACCAGCCCCAGTTCTCTGCTCTCTTCAAAGAGCCAAATTACTCTAAAAATTACCGTCACTATCTCCATCTCTTTGCCTCACATTCTCTTTTGAACACATCCCCCAAAAGCCATTGGTCCAGTGGAGCCAGTCAGGTCCGCTCCGCACCCACATCCAGCGAGGGGCCCATCCTAACCCTTGCACCCCTCCCATTCTCATGCACCTGGTGCCTGCGCTGACCTCAAGGGGCACCCTTTCCTCTCCTGGCCGGCCATAGAGTCTCCACACCTCAGCGTTCTCCATCTCAGGTAATTATCACCATTGACCCAGTCATCACTGGAGCCAAAAGCCACAGTGTTGATCTGGACACCCCCTTCCCTCAGACCCCGTATCAAACCAGCAGAAAATCAGACCTGACCCCCGCACTCTCACCCCCTATGATGACCACTCACAGGAAGCCAGCATGACCTTGCCCCTGGTCCACGGCAACCGCCTCCAACCCGGTCTCCCAACCCCACTCCTGTCCCCTCTAGTCCGTTCTACACAGCAGCCAGGGGCAAGCAAACTAGATCGAGTCATTCTGGCGCACAATCCCTCCATGGTTCCCTATCACAATTGAATTAAAGTCAAAGTCTGACGCGATCTAACCACTGGAAACTTCTCAAGAAACCATGTTCCAACACTTTCACACACGTGCTCACTAGGCCTCAGCCACCACTGCTTTCCTGTCCCCCCACATACCCGTGACTCAAGGCATCCCACGTGCTCTTCCGCTGCCTGGGACGCATTACCTCCAGCTCCCTCACATACCACTCCTCAGGCCTTCTCCGGTCACCCCAGCTGAACTGCCCACTGCACTCCGCACCTGCCCACTGACGCTCACAGCCCCGACTGCCCTGCCCCGGAGTAGTACCCACTGCCCGCTGGCTCTGGGGAAATATGAACCCCACAAAAGAAGGACTTAGTCTGTGCAATATACCACTAAATCCCCAATATTTTTGACAGTGCCTGGCACGCGCAAAGTACGCAATAAATATTTAATGAAAGAAATGTTACTTCACCATTACACAGCCCCATTGCACCTGTAAAGTGGGGACGACCAAACTGCTTGCTCCGTGGTGCTGAGAATTAAGTTACTTAACAGCCATGAGGCAGTCAGCTCAGTGCGAGCACTAGCTGCTGTTCTGCCTGACAGTTCAGTTCTTTGAGGTCAAGTGGCTAGCCTTGCATGTTCACAACCAAAAAAGTACAAATACAGTCTTTTACCACCAGTGAACTGGAACGTCAATGAAGCATATAAAGTTATATCACAGGCTTTAACTTAATTCATGGAGGGTTCCCTCCCAATTCAGAAACTCAGCTGCTACATGGTGAAGTAAACGGAAAGCAGCGGCGGAAGCCTCTTCAGCAGCTGCAAGCTTGCACTGCCCATGGCAGGAAGGCATTCTTCAAATGCCTGCGCACTAAGGATCGGAGATCCCGGAGATCTCCTAGAGATCCCTGGAAATCCCCGCTGTCCTCTGCCTCAGGACAAAGGGGTCGGTCCCCACCCACCTGCTTGATAATGCTCTGTCCACTGACGTTCTGAATGACGGCGGCTGTGGAAGCACCCGGTGCAGAGGTCCCAGGAGAACTCGAGGCTGGCTTGCTCGCAGGGCTGGCTGTGGCAGGGAGGCTTGTCACCGTGAGCCCCGTCTGCCCAGGCGCCGGCCGCTGCACGGTGGCTGCTGCCGTCTGGGCTTTGACTGGAACGGTGGCCATTACTGTCTAGTTCAGAGCATGAGGCCAAGAGCTTAATCAGACCCTAATGCAGATGGGCACGCCCCCCGCAGGGTGTGCCTCTGCAAGCACTTCTAATTTAACCGGGCTTCCCGAGCACCAGTCTCTAAAACGGACACGTGAAGTTCCCGTGCTTGTGAGCACACCTTTCACGTTCAGGATGATCCCACATGGAATACCCCACGCCTAGATACTGCAGACAAACAGTACACCCCTTTTACAGTGCAGGACGCTGAGACTGAGGACTTCTCTCTAAAATTGCACGACTAGTCAGTGGCATAGCTAAGTCTAGAGGCACATCAGACAGAGCCTGAGACTCAGGAGCACAGGCCTGGACTTCACCCCACCTCTGTGAGGCCCCTAACATTAATTATACTGCTGGGTAAATCACCAAGCTTCTCAGAAGTTCTGATCCGCCACATGGAAAGCAGGACTCCTGGAAGCTCTCGCCGGGCCGTAAACGTTAAACAAGTTGTGTAATGAAGACCCTCATCAGTAGACGTAACGTAAGGGCCCCTCAGTCCTTGCCCAGACTGCCCATCGTGCTCGCAGCCTGCGGCAGGGTCCGCTGCCCTTGCTTACCTGGGGCACAACTTTGGTCTGTGTAGCAGTGGCTGGAACACGCATCTGAGGTCCTGCTGGGTTCGGTGGCAGTGTCTGTGCTGGCCCAGCTGACTGCTGAGTCACAGCAGGAAGGCTAGGCTGGGCCACCACCCGCACCTGGGGCAGGCTGGCTGAGCCAGAGTGGCCCACGACCCGGGCCGTGGCCTGAGAGCTGGGTGGTGTCTGACTGGCCGACGGGGAGAGCATCGTTCCCAGCTGTGGCATTGTGGGTGAAGACACCAGAAGAACACTAGGAGGAAATGGGAGGCAACGATGGCCAACTGACTCAGGACGTGCACACAGGAGGACTTCGGAGGGAGCAGGCTAGAGGAAGAACAGAGGAGCTTACCCGGAGCTAGACTTAGCTGGTTCGGAGACAGGAGCAGGGCCACTTTTGCTGACCACCGAAACTGGCGGAGGGGAGATAGGAGTGGCAGGCAAAGCTGGAGTGGTGGGCGTCACAGGTGTGACTGGGGTGGGTGGCATGCTGGAGTCACTGAGGCTCATCTGGCTCTGTTCAGAAGGGCCACTGCTGAGGACCTTCATTGAACTCTCCTTGCTATTGGACTTCTGTACGTGGAAGATGAAGAGAAATTCACATGCAGACTTAACACAGGTGCGTGAAAGGGAGGTATGGCCCACGGCTCCAGACGCACTGAGCTACGGGAAGGCCTCACTTCCATCTTCCTTGACACCGCTCTGAGGGAGTCACTTACCACCTTAGACGACGGCTTAGGTTTCTGCTGAAGGGCTTTTCTGGCTTTAGCTGCTGCTGCTTGTGCTTGGTGAATCCGCTCTGCAAGCAAGGGCAGAAGCTTCAGCAGTAGTTTAAGCACAGTGAGAAGGGGGGGGTTCATTAAGAGCCCAGGCTTCGCTGGGGGCTGAGCCCTGCTTAAATGCCACTGAAAAGCATCCTGGAATTGGGGCAGAAGGTCAGAAGCATCCCTACACTATCTGGACGCTACCCAGAGGCCTCACACACCGAACTCTTCCTCGCTCCTGTCCCGATGCAGGTAGATCCACAGCTTCCGTCCAATGTCGTATTTCACACATGGGTCTTTTTCGTAATGGAGCCGATCCAGTGCGCCACTCACTACTGTATTCACCTAGGAACCAGAAGCAAGGGACAAGGGACAGGTCAGACTCGGACACCAGAGAAAAGCTCTGAGTGTAAGTCACAGTTGCTGAGCTGATTATGTCTCAGTGGTGGGGCAGCACTCCCAAAAACTCACTGGGAGTCACATGCCCAAACAGGAAACACTAAGGTTCCTGAAAGACTGAGCTGCCAACCCTTGAAGGCGACAATGACCTCAGACCCTTAGAAGCTGTAAGAAAGCTCAGAGTCAAATTTGTGCTTCACTGGCAGCAAAAGTCTCAGGTTATCACTCTTCACCTGTCTTGAGACACCCTTCTTCCCTCTTCATTCAGTTTTTAAAAACTTAAGTTATTGTTTATTTCCTGGTAAGTTTTCTGAATTTCTTTCTGGAACAAAACAAAAATAACCTCTTCTCCATCCTACCTGAGTGCTGGTGACATCTGGGGCAAGAAACTGGGAGTCCTTGAGCAATTCACAGATCTCTGCCCGCGTGCCTTCTCCATTAGGCAGCCGAGCCGCCGCGTCTCGAACTGGTGGCATCAGGAAAGGAAGAGCCCGTGAGTCAAGCAGGGCTGCGCGGAGGAAGCCTTCCTCTCCTGCTGCACGGAGGAAGCGCCCCGAGGTCTCTCTGCCTCTCTGGCTGCAGCACTGGGCGGACACTGCCCTCTAGGGGCGGCCCCTATACACTCGTCACCCTTTCGGCTGAAACCAAACATGACCCCTTGGGACTATTATAAACATAAGTACAAAACCACATATTGTTAGTGCCAAGATGTTATGAGAGAAATCTGATGTTCTCACATCACGTGACAGCTATTGCAGACAACTCAAAACACCGTTTCCACACATCACTATTTGGAAATTACAGGAGTTATAAGATCTGCTGCTAGATCTCGTCACTTAATATCATAAAAAGATAAAATATTTATGCATAAAAAATTGGTTTTAATATTTTAAAAACTCTTTTAATATGACTGGTTTCTCTTGTGACTCCACACATAGTATGTTATACATTTAAAGACCTAATTCTGAGAAGAGGCCCAGAGGTTTCACCAGACTTGTAACACAAAGGCTGAGAAGCTCAGGTTGAAAGGAGTCAGTCTGGAGGAACCCAATCCCCATACCTGTCCTAACTGCTTACCTGTGAACAATTCCTGTAAGAAAACAGACTGAGTGCAGACTTCAGGAAAGAAACACTAATTCTGGATAAATCTCTGGGGGCAGAAGCCCCCCCCACACACTCCAAAGCTTCCTAAAGCTGCACCTGGCCCTCAGAGCTCTCCCGTGCTGTGTGGTGGGGGGCGGGGGCAGAGAGCACGCACAGCTGGCCCGAGAAGGAAAGCAACCGCACCCAGTGACAGGATGGTGACATAGGCAGGCCGGTCCGAGCGCAGCAGGGAGTGCTCCCGTGCCTTGTTGAGGGAGGTTTCCTTGTCGAACACACCCTTCACAGGCCCCACCACAGACTCGAAGCCGTGCATGCGGAAGGTGAACGCCTTATGGGGCTGGCTGTATCTGCAACGCTCCTGCAGAGAGCAAAGGGACAAGGCTCGTACGTCAGAACAGCGCGGTTCTCTCTAGGGCTCCCTACCAAAGGGTCAGCCTGCAGAGACCCCACATGAAGCAAACAGGCTACTCCAACTAGGAATACCGAGCCACCGACAGTGGGGAAGCATGGTCCCCAAAGCCCGAGCCGCTAGCCAAGGGACAAAAAGGCAAAGAGAAGTGTGTTTTGCTAGCTAGAGGAAAAGGCCATCAAAACATTTTTCATCCCTTACACCATTTCTGCCCTCGACGGACAACCCCAACCAACAGCATACCTAAGGTTGCAGGTGTGAATTTCCTCTAAGAAAGTGGACCCGAGAAGAGCCGGCCTGCAGGGCCTCCCAGCTATTTCTTACCTGCTCCTGAAATACTCGTTTTTCCTCCCCGGTACTGGGCCGCACCACATAGTCCGTTCTTCTGGAACACAAAGAATTTGGGGGAATCTAAAAAAAGCTGAACTCACAAAAACAGGGAGTAGAACAGCATTTTTACCAAGGGCTGGCAAACGGGAGAACTGGGCAGACGGGGGTCAAAGGGCACAGACTCGCAGCTCTGAGCGAGTAAGCCCCAGGTGGCCGGTGCAGAGCGCACTGACCACAGTTAGTAAAGATGTTCGTTCCACAGCTGGGAGCTGCTGAGAGAGACCACACACATTCCCACCACACACCCCCAAAGCCGGTAACTACGTGAGTGACGAATGTGTTAACTAACCTTACTTCAGCAATCATTTCACAATATATACATGCATCAAATCAACACAATATTGTACGTCAACTGCATTTCAATGGAACTGGGGGGGAAAACAGGGGACTGCCCCAGACTGAAAACAGTCACATGAGGCGCCGTGACACACAGAGCTCAGGACCAGACCAGAGGTCAACAGACCTCTCTTCTCGCCCCAGTTGTCCTAACCTTCAGCCAGTCACTTAAGCTCTTGCCTCAACTTCTTTACAGGTAAACCGAGGGAGATGGATTGGATGAGTCACTATCAAGTAGGTACACGCAGGAGGGGAAGCCAGGGGAAAATGTCCACCCACAGGGCAGATCACACCCCCCTGAGAACCCCCCCAACTCAGAATCCTTTGCTCAGGGAGCCACGTTTATCAATGGGAGCATGCTGCCCTCCTGGGGCGCGCTGAGGCAGGTGAGCCCCGGTGCACCCTAGGATCGCTAACGTCCCCCACAGCTCTGGCACGCTGCAAAATGTCAGAAAACTATGGTGGTACCGTGAACAACGGCTTCACAGGATACCCCCCACTGTCAAAGAATCATACTCACACCCGAGGGACAGGTGTTGTGGCATCTGTGCCATCTTCATGTTCCTGCTGGAGAAAAGGAAAATGTGAACAGGCAGATGAACTAAAGAATTCTGGCTAACGTGAGGGCTCTGGAAACCCAATGAGAAAAATCTGCTTTCTTTAAAAACCATACCTTGCAGAACACCTGGTCTTTGGTTTCTAGCCACAGCTGGAAGAGTGCAGCTAATTCCTTTTCATTATCTTGGGACTGGCCTATCAAAGGAATTAAAAGACAAAAAACAATAATAAAGCAAACTAAGGTGTTACTCAATCTCCCCTTCTCCTTACTTGCTGTGCTTCTGCCACATGAAGCGGCTCTGGACGCGCAGCCGCGGCCCTCCGCACACACTACCCACTCAGCCTGTCCGAGTGGAGGGCTTCCATCGCCACTGGCCAGGCCACCCTTTCCGGGCGGCCCCTAACTAAATCACTCACTCACTCACTAAGTATTTGCTAGCAGACAATGAGTGCTGGCGAGGACGTGGAGAAAAGGGAACCCTAGTGCACGGTCGTTGGGAATGCAGACAGTGCAGCTGCTGTGGAAAACAGTGTGGAACTTCCTCGAAAAACTAAAAACGGAACCGCCTTTTGTCCCAGCAATTCCACCGCAGTGAATATACCTTAAGAATCTCAAAACACCAATACTAAAGAACTCATGCTCCCCAATGTTCATAGCAGCCTACATATAACAGCCAAGTGCTGGAAACGGCCTAAGTGCCCATCGGCAAATGAGTGGATGAAAACACCCTGGTCCATTTACACAATGGAATTCTACGCACCAGAAAGAAAGAAGGAGCTCCTACCCTTCATAACCACATAGATGGAACTGGAGAGCATTATGCTAAGTGAAGTAAGCCAGGTGGTAAGAGACAAATACCACATGATCTCACTTTATAAGAGAAATCTAATGAACAAAATAAAGTAAAAAGCAAAACAGAACCAGAGGCATGGAAACAGGGAACAGACTGGCAGTGGCCAGGGGCAGGGTGCACTTGGAAATGCTGGAAAGAAAGGGAAGGAACTAGTCAAAAAACATGTATGAATGACCCACAGACATGGACAACGGTGTGCGGACTGATTATGGGAGCAGGGGGTGGGATGGGTGGAGGAGGGCAAAGGGGGAAAAATTGGGACAACTGTAATAGAACAATAAAAAATGAAATAAAAAATAAGTGTTTGCTGAGCAGCCGCTGTGTGCCCCAGTGCATGCTCGGTCAGTTAGTCCCTCATGAGGTTTACAGGCAAGTGAGGAAAGAGCACAGAACAAGTAAAACTGAAAAGTGGCAGGTGTCGCAAAGCTCACCCTAGGAAAGTTATCCTGTCCTTGGAGGGGTGGGGGTTGGAAAAGGTTCCTTCTGGCTAATGAGGGCACAAAGGCACCACCCACAGGGCCCAGCAACAAGGACGCCGAAAGGCAGGAGAAAAGCTGGGCTCCCCCTGCCCTGCCTAGAATGAGACAAACACTTGGCCCATGTCCTCCTCCGCTATCACTTTGTTTCTACTCCTGCTGTGGCACCTGTCACATGAGGGTGCCTATGTCTCCTGCCCAGACCAGCCACCCCAGAGACCAGTGTCACCCAGGTCTGGGCAGCCAGGAAAGAAAGCACCAGCCAGGGCCTAGCCTTCTCCAAGGCTGCCAAGGTGACCTCACCAGGTCTCCTACCTATTTTCACTAGTCAGTGCACAGTCCCACTGCCCCAGGAAACTCTGGGCTTTCTCACCCTGCACAGCTCCTCTTACTCCCCTTCTGCCATCTAGAAACACGACTTTATAACCAGCAAATTCTCCTACAGCCACGCCTTCTTCCCACGACACTTCCCCCACTTCCCTGTTCCGTGTCACTTCCGGTTCTGCCTGACCTTTCTGCTTCTGGACATGCTGGCTACTTGCTCCCTCACAGCCACGCCCCTCAGAGCTGAGCTCTGCTCTCAACCCTGTAACTGACTCCAGACCATTTTTCTCCAACTCTTCTGACACATCAAAATAAAACAAAAGCTGGTCCCTACGGCTCTCACCACCCACCTGTACCCACCCCGTGCCCCGCCCCTCGCAGGTACTTCCCAGTCCGTCCTCCCCATAGTGTGCTGGCCCACCTTGCTCCTCACCTGCCACGCCCCCACGGAAGGCCCACCCAGTACCCTGATCTCCAGTTCTGTGACCTCAGAGACCTCCTCCCTCCATCCCAGCCCAGCCCAGCCACTAGTTCCCAACACCAGATGGACTGTGTCATTACCTCAAACTGCTCCATCTTCCAAATGCCTGATCCAGTGTTCCTCAACCCTGGCTATACGTAAGAATCACCCAGGAACTTGTAAAATACCCAGGCTTGGGCCACACCCCAACAATTAATCAGAAGGTCCACAGGGAAGGCCTGGGCAGCAGCATTTTTCAGAAGTTCCCTCCTGACTGCAGTGTACGGCCAGGGCTAAGGTCCTTTATACTAATCCACATATTCTGCCTCCCGACCACCATCACTGAGACTCCATCCTTGCTTAGCTCCTCCCACCAAAGCACCACCTGGACCCAGAACTGCTCATCCACTCGTCCGATCCCACCAGCCTCCTTCCTTCACACGGCTCTCCCTGTTCAGTCTACAGCCATCATCTCCACGATTCCCTCACCAACACAGTACTACCTACCACCTCTGCTCTCCTGTCGGCAGCACTCCCACCCGCACTACCCACAGTCTCCGAGCCCCAGCTCAGACAGCTGAGGGCTGCCAAAGAAACATGCAAAAAAGGTAACAAACGCCACTACCAACGAGCGACAAGCAGTCTCGCTGGCCCCAGCAATGCCCGGCTGTCTGACGTCGTCTCCAGTCAGCTGCTCTTCCAGGCTCTGTGCTGACGACCGCCCCCCTCCTCTCCGCTCCCTTCTCACTCACGACTCGCACCCTCACCCCTCTCACCTACGACTTTAACAGCACAGCCACCGGACCAACCCCCTCAAGATCCCTACGATAAAGCCTGCTGGTTTGAACCCATCGTTTCCACCTATTACAAGTGTGCCAATCCCATCACCTCTTCTCATGAATGTACGTAGTCAATTTTCCCTGCTCTCCCCTATCCACAACCTTTCTTCCCACTGTACCCTCTCCATCAACACTCAGGCCCGCCCAAAATTTCTTCTCTGGCCACAAGTCCCTGTACTATCCTCCCCTCCCCGGCTAAACCTCTAGAAAGAGTGGTTTAGATGGTCAACAAAAACTGAGCACCTTTAGAATGGAGCGGGCGCTGCTGCGCCGGAACACTGCCTTACATGTCTGCTGCCTCAAACTTCGGAATGTTACAACTGAGCAAAATAACGTCTGGCCTGGGCCTAAGCAACCTTGTTTCCCAAAAACTGTTTGCAAAGATAACAAGACAGCAGTCGTTACAACTACTGGACTGAGGACTGCCAGTTACTATTGCTAAATTAGCTTATCTGAACCAAAGGAAATACCTTCCTTCTACTAATGTGATTGCCCCCCCCTTCCGATAAATACTCATTGCCTGTGTGTCCTAATTGGAACGTTACCTGGGCTTCTACCTGAATCAGTGCTTCCCAAATAGCTATTCTTTTTTTTTAAATCTCAAATAAATTCTTGTTGCTCTCACTTTAAAAGGCTTTTATGTTGAGCTTAGTTAAGGTCCACCATCTCCTTAACCAGTGTGTACAGATAAATGTTCAACTGGCTGCAAAAAAGGAGCCCTGACTGGGAGCATTTGCAGATCTCCACAGTGCACATCAAGGGTCAGCTAATTGGCCACCTGTTTTTGTAAATCAAGTTTTATGGCCACACAGCCAGGTCTGTTCATTTACATACGGTCTTAGGGTTCTTCGCACCGTGATGCCAGGGTCGAACAGATGAAACACAAAGCATCTGGCCCACAAACTTAAAATACTTATCATCTGGCTGTGTCCGTTTGCCACTGTGGCATACGGGTCCCATGATGGCTGATGTCAAGCCCCCAGCCTGATGGAAGGAGCCGTAGTCACCTATTACAAGTCGCCTTCAGCTCGCCACTGTCCACAACACTCGTCTTTCCGATAAGGTATCACTCTTACAAGAAATTCATCATTTCTTCCGGGTCTACGAATCTGGTCTTTATCTTACCGAACCTTTTAGAAACAACCAGGGCTAATGACCACTCCCCAGTTCTTGACTCTCCCATTACTGGGCTTCCAGGATTCAACCATCCGTGGCTTCCTCCTGACTCTACAGTCACCTCCTCTCCCGACACTCGCCCACACAGCCTCCTCTGCCCCCCAGTTTCTCAAGGCTTCATCCGTGGCCCTCCATTCTCCTCATTTAACACTTTCTCCCAGTGCCTTTAACTTTCCATACTCTGTATACACCGACGACTCTCTACACTCGACTCTGGTCTAGATTCTAAACCTGTGTATCCTACGCCTGTTCAGTATCTCCACTTAAGTGCCTCGAAGGCAGCTCAAACTCGGCAAACCCAAAACTAAACTCACGGGTCAACTCCCACCCTTACCCGTGGCAGGCCATCTTCCACAGCTGCCTACCTCGATAAACGAGGCCTTCCTCCACTGACTACAAATCTAGTGCAGGGAGGCCTGACGGCCCTCTTCCCCCACTCCCACATCCATTCCAAACCAAGTCCGGCACTTTCCCCTCCTAAAACCTTCTTCAATTTAAATTCCCTTCCCCCAGGTCATAGATGATTATCATCATCTCTACATGGGCCTGTGTGACCTTTAGGGACCGAATCTTCCCTGGCACCACCGACCTACACTGCCCCCTCCATCTGGAATGCCCGACCCTCCCGTCTGCCTGGCTCCTTCCTAACCATCATCCACATCTCTGCTCACGTGCTCCCTCCCCAGGCAGGTCCTCCCTGGCTTGCCTGCACCAATGCCTCACTATACGCCTATCCGTTTTGGTACCTTCCCCTTGCGGAACCTATGAGTCTGGTAGTTCACTTGAATGACTGTTTGTTCCGCAAACCTTAAACCCCACGAGGGGAGCACACTGTCTAAAACTTGCAAACCATTATATCCCCTAGCACCTAACACAGTGCCTGACACCTAGGTGCTGACTAAATGTCACAAAAATGGATGAAATCTAGTGCTCTCACGGTCTCCTTCTCCATTCATCTCCTCAGACTACCCAAGTAAAGAGAAAGGTTTATGAATCTCAATACAAAATCCACACTGATTTTTCCTCTTACCACCATCACCAGGTAACAGTCACCAAGTTACTACAACTCAGAGAGAAAGTGGAACTTTGTAAACTTCAAACAAAAGTAAGAATCCAGTTCCTGAAAGAGCTTATTCGGAGCTGTCCAGCACCTTGCTGCACACTGTACTCAATAACAAAGCCCGTTTTAGGAACGAAAAATAATGACATTATCAAGAATTAATCTAAAACAACAGGTACAATGAACATAAACATCGATCCTACTGTAAAATGCCCCTGCGTATTTAAATGTAGCCACACCAGAGTGCACCGTAATAGAAGGCCTATTCCGTCTCGGTTTCAGTGAGCCCAACCCAATGGGGGGAGTGCAAGGGGTGAGATTCGGACCCCGAGCACCGAAGGGGCCTTTTATTTAATACTGCTCTTTTTAACCTCCTACTGGACTACAGTACTGATTGGAAGACAAAAGAAGACTGGGGGAGGAAATGAGAGCATGAAAACCCAGTGTTAAGGGTAGATAATTATAAATTACTTACCAAGCAATTTCCATTGCTGGGTTTTCTCTTTAAATTCAACAAATGGAGAAAAACTGGAAGGCACGGCTGTAAGAAATGGGCAACACAAGCCACACAGGTCAGAGTGCTAAACTCAGAATAATGAATACCTCTGAGCTCTCGGATAACTTCTGAATGTTTCATGGTGTATCAGAAGAGCAGAGACCTCCAAAGCATGGCATTATGCAAAGCCATAAGGGTTTAAACCAGTAAAGCTGCAGTGTACTATCAGAATTAATCAGATAAGGGGGGGAGGGGTAGTGACCATACAGAAAAAAGCTCCCTACCTCGGCTTTCGCCAGCAAGATACTGCAGGGCCGGCAACACCAACTCCGCCCAGTTGGGGGCTGTGGAGAACCAGCTGTTGAGGGAGCTGGCCGGAGACGACTGCCAGTCCAGCACCCGCTCCTCGAGCTGCGGGAAAGCAGAGGCAGACCCAGTTAGAGCCCCGCGCTAACCAGCCACTCCACGGATGTGCCAGAGCAAGCTGGGGTCCACCTGTCCAGTCTGCCCAAGACAGAATGCAAGTTAGCTGTGGCCTTGGGAGCAACCCAGAGTGCTGCTTGTCTAGCTACAGAGCATCAAAAATTTCTACAGTTTGAAAATTCTAAAGTACATTATGACTTTCCCCAAACTCTTACCACAGGAAGGCTAGACTGCCCCTCCAGCAGCAAGATCTCCAGCAGAAGAGAGAAAAAGCTAGAAGATATTTCATTGATTCCAAGGCAAGGCTTGAGGTCCTCTAGAGGCCTAATGAGGGAAGAAAAACGTGAGCACAAAAAAGACCCAACAACACATCCCTAGACTGGTTTAGGCTCCCGAGCCTCCTGTCAGTCATAAAAAAGGTCGGTGAAGAACCACCACGCAGTTCCCCTAGCAGGACCCCCTCGGACTCTAGGCTCGGGGTTCAACACAAACTAGTCCACACCAGCACCATCACTGGGCACACCCTGAGGGTTAATCTTCCACCCACAGGCAAGAAGCTCTTCGGCCCACTCACTCCTCCTTGATAGCGGGCACTGCCAGCGGAGACGGGGCCTGGGAGAGAGGCGGCAGCCCCTCGGCACCGCTTAGGGGCTCAGCCAGATCCTCTGCCTCTGACTTGATGGTTTTTAACTTCTTCTTCTTCTTCTCCTCTTTTTCCTTAACCTTTTTCTTAAGGACAGCCAAGTCATACAGGGCTGGGAAGAAAAAGCAACACAAATCATAGAACTGCATTTCTACATCAGGAAGTGAGAAGTTTCAGCTGCATATTACTTGCTCAGGCTCACCAGTAAAAGAAAGACAAATCTCAAAAATAAGATACTCAGTTTTGTTTACTGAACCCAGAGAATGATTTGCAAATTAACTTAAACAGTTATTAAGGAGCCCATAATGATCTGCTGTTCTGACTTTGTATTACTATCCACCCATAAACCCATAGAGGCAATAACAAGACAATATCATCAGCAAGACGAAAGCTATGATTTCATTCATTTTCAACATGGAGGCAGGCTCAGGAAATTTACCACCTCCAGACGATGGCGCCCTACAGCGGATGTCCTGTACCTGCTAAAGAACCTTTCCTGCCAGCGTTCACTCGAGTCATGATGTCATTGAGAGTCAGGTCCCCCGTCAAAAGGTCCGGGTGGTCCTAGAGTAACAGTTGAAGAGTTGTTATGGAAGCCCAAATACAAAGCTCAAACTACTGGAGGTCTTGCCAATATATCCAACAGATACTTAGATGTTACGTGCGCTTAAGGAAATCATGTTGAACTAAAAATATACACAGATAAAAACTGTTCTTCATAACGAGCCAAAGGAGAGCCCAGTTCCAACCTTTCTATTGTACTGCATTTACCGTTTATAAAGCTCGTTCACATTCCTTATCTTATGTGTTCTTCAAATAGTCTTGTTAAATACCATACTTTAAAGTCTGAAAATGGGACCCAGAGGAATGAAGGGATCTGCCCACCACCACAGGGTAAGTGGAAAAGACAGGCAGAGAAGTCAGCTCCGACCTCGGCTATGGGACCCTTCCCAGACCACCACTCTGCCCGAGGCAGACGGCCCTTTCTTCCTCCCCTGTCCTCTCTGGCTGGGCTGCACTGGAACTGCCTTGAGTTGAGGGAGTAACAGAAACAGTAAAAAGGGGGAAGAGCACTGGATCTGACTCAGCTCTGCCACGTACTAGCCGCAGGGCCAAGGACAAGCTCCTTCGCCTCTCTGAGCTCTGCTAACGTGGACATGATTCACACAGTGGTCTTGAGTGCAGATTAAATCAGACACTACGTTAAGCAGGCTGTATAAAGTCAAAGCACGTGTCTTCTCACATCGCTGGTTCCCCTGTCCTCTAACAGTGATAAGGAAGCAGAAAGAAAGTTGTGACTACCTGTGTCTTCCCTACAACAGCCAACCCAGAGATTTCACACTGACAACCGCTAGTGACCACACGCACCCTCCCCCCGTCTTACTGGTTGGCGTTTCCGCTTCTCGTGGTGCTTCTTTAACATTATCTTCAGGTCACTGTCCCCCAGTTCTATTTTATCTGAGAGAAAATGAACCAAACCATACAGACTAGGTCATTCACCCACATGACGCTGAAACATAAGACTTCTCTCTCTGGTCACCTGGGATTCAAAAGGAAGGTGTTTCTGAGTGTCCCTCTGACTACTGCCCTACACGCACCGACAGTCCTGAACGGCCACAGGTCAACTCTTCAGTGTTTCTACACGTCAGTCAGTACCAGTGACCTCAGTGACCCAGCCACTCCTAAAACATACTAAAGGTTTCACACTGTACTCTGATTCCTAGCCCAATTAAAATCCCCTAATTTCACAGGCTCTGGTCACCCCTTTTGTTCTATTATTAAGTTGTCCCTTAGTATCGCTATTTTAAGATTCTGCTTTAGCCCAAAATACCAGCTGATCAACTCTTAAAAAAAACTTGCAAAGCAAAAAAGGGAAGGAAGGAAGGAAGGCTTACCTACTTGTTTTATACAGAAACTTCTCCCCATTCTCCCAGCAGGTAAAAACCTAGCCCCGGCCGCCCTCTGGGAGCGCTCTCGAGTCTCCCTCCAGAGGCCCCAGAACGCACATAGCACCAGCGAGTTCTCACCTGCAGTCTTCATATCCGTGGTTGAAAGCGTGGGCACCACCCTCAGGGGCACCGCAGGGCTAGGAGAACGTGCCGGAGAGCTCGGAAGCCACGAGCTGAGATCTTCAAAAGAAAATTTTTCTTGTAAATCCAACGTGGCTGTGGACTCCAACAGGGGAGATTGGGTAAGTGGCCATTTGGGTTCAACAAAGGCAAGCCAACAACATGGAGGCCAGCGTTCCACCATTCCTTTCTGACCCTTCCCCAGGCGAACGGAAGCACACTGAGGCCATTTAAACGGCTCTTCCAGGAGGAGAGACTTCAACAGAGTGGTGGGGTCGCACTGCGGCGGGCCAACAGTCACTACTACTCTCCTGTGGGGGAAAAGCGGTTCTCTCGAGTGGCACAGTAGGGCCTGCTGCGGAGAGCCCTGCCACGCAGGGGTCCTCTCACCTACGCTCCAGCGCCACTTAGGCTCCCAGTCACACCCACCTAGCAGGAAGGCCCGCCCCCCAGGCAGACGAGTGGGACTGCTTCTCTGCTGGGGAGACATACGGCTCCAACCCAGCAACACATGCGAACCCAAAGCCCCGGCCGCCCAACGTGCCCCAAGCCTGCGGCCACTCACCCTCTTCATCTGAAGACAGGGCTGTGTCGCCACACTCCTCCTTCACCTCCCTCAAGATCTTCAAGTAGCGCTGCTGGGTCCGCCACTCCCGCTCCTCAGGGGTGCGGGACGGCGAAGGGCGCTTCTGCCGGAAGGAAAGGGCCGGGCCGCTCTGACGGGCCATCTCCAGGAGGTCCTGGGAGGGGACCAGAGAGGGGACCTGTCATCACCGAAAGCCTGGTCTGGTCCGTTCCCGAAGTCTGCATTTTCCTGTCCTTGTTTAACACGCTCAACTCTCTCCCTCTAGATCACAAAGAAGATGCACGTGCAAGTGTGCTAAACAAAATGGGCCTATTTTGACTATTACATAGAAAAATTCTAAAAGTGAATGTTGACCTGCTCCACTAAAAATGAATACTCATTATATTCAACACTAGACACCCATGTTGCCTCCCGAAGCTTAAACCACTTAGAGCCGGAACAACTCCGGTCCAGCCCGGGGCCAGACCTTGGGGCGCTGCCTGCCTGTCGGGTCACCCAGAGTCCCCGTGCGCTCGCACACGGGTTCCAAAACAGCTGCCTCTCCTACTAAGCCACAACAGCTCTGAAAGCCACTGATCTGTCTTGGTAAACACTGAAGCCAGGAGACTTCACCAAGTCCAAGAGGTACCTTTTTATTACTGTCTCAACACCTCTGAAATCAGAGTCCATCTTCAAACTGATCACAAGATAGGCTAATACAGCCGAATTGTGTCACGGCTCAACTGGCAGTGGTTTGTCCTTAGTGGTACCTTTCGTATTTTGTACCTGAGCCACTCCGTGAAGTCACGCGAGCTGTGAGTCCACTGCCCACGTCCCAGAGCCGGCTCCAGCACTACTTACACTGCGGGACGCCAGGATCTGCTTCAGCAGCCGATGGAAGTACTGCTGCTGGGAGCTGAGGTATCGCTTGTACTGCGACTTGAAGCACAGCTGCCGATACTTGACCACCTCGGGGTTAAAGTGTCCATCTTAAAAAAGAGGTACAACTATATATACACCAGGCAACAAACATTTAATCTGTGCTTCAAGTGTAGTGAACTCTGCTAAACTGGAATACAGTATTGGGAGGGGGAGATAACATCCATTTACATGGAGCCTGCAGTCCAGTGGGAGAAATAGCAAATAAACAGGTAAACAGATAAAGAATATTCAACTCTCTTAAGTACTATAGGGAAATTAAGAGACCTGCAAGGGTAAGGAGAACTGAATCAGGAAAGGGATCTTGAAAGAGTAATACATAAAATGAAGCCTAATTAAAGCAACTGTTGCAAAATATCGACAACTGATACATGTAGGTGAAAGGTGCATGAATGTCCACTGTATTAGTTTTCAACTTTTCTACATGGTTAAAAGTTTTCATAATGAAACACTGGGAGAAATGTAGAGTATATGGGAATTTAAAAAAAGAGAAGTGACAATGGGGAGAGGCAAAAAGAACCGCATGTGCTGAAGTGGGCCTCGAAGCACGTTCCGACCTTTAAGAAATGTATGATGGCAAAAGCAGAGTGGGTCGTGGCCAAGTGGCACGAAAGGACCTGGGAAGGTGGGCCGAGATCCAACCAGACAGAAACGTGTAGGTCATGGCACGGATTTTACCCTACATGCAATGAAGACAACTGGAAGGGTCTGAAGCAGGAGAACGACACGGCTGAGTGAGAGAAAATCTGCGGCTGCGGTCCGGGTGAGACACAACGGTGGCTTGGCGCAATGCTTTCCCTTCACACTCGGTAAAGGCCAAGACCCCAAAGGGGGCCCGCAAGGCCCTTCTCGACCTGCCTCGCGCCGCCCGGCCCCGACTTCTTCCAGTCTCCCTCGTCCTCTTCTCCACCCCCAATGGCCTCCACGCTGTCTCCTCAACAGGCCACCTGCCCTACTTTTTTGAGGCCTTTGTACTAAAAGCTCCCTCTGCCTACAAAGCTTCCTGTTAACACACAGTATCTTCACGGATTACTCTTTCAGCCTTCGTGGGGTTTCTGTTCAGATGGCACCTCACTGGAGAAGCCTTACCCAAATTCCACATCTAAAACAGCTCCTTCTCCGCACTCTAGTCCCAATACCCTTATTCTGTGTTGCACTTAAACCAACAAACGCTTGCTTATTTATCATGTTTTTGTCTATTAGAAGGTAAGGTCATTACTCTATCTCCAGAACTCCAAAGAAGTATCTGGCATGAATGAGCTGATTAGTGAACAGCTAAATGAATGGAAGCAGGGAGACCTGGGAATACATTTCTGAGGGGGAAAGATCAGAGCTGCTGACAGTCTGGATGCTGGGGCAAGAAGGGGAGCAATGGAGAGGTCAGCTGAGCACGGTCCCTCAATCACTGAACATGAGCTGCGGGTGCCACTGCCAGGGACAGGGAGGCCTAACAGAGGCCCACTGGGGACACATTAGATGTGGGCAGGCAGGCTTCGATGGGAACAGAGAGGGAAAGACTGCGAAGCTCATCTCAGGGAGCTACAATAAGGGCTCAAAGCACAAGGTGTTCCTTTTCTTCTCCAACTGCCCTAATAGTGTCCAAGGTAACTAGTAGCTACACACACTCAGAACCATACCTGACACCTAACTGCCGCTACATGAGGGCCCTGCATGTGTTAACTCATTTAATCTGCCTAACAATCCCATAAGGAAGGCACTACTAAACCCTCATTTCACAAATAAGAAAACTGAGGCACGGAGACGTGAACTAACTTGCCAAGGTCACACAGCTAGCAAACGGGGAAGTCAGGTCTGACCACAGGTAGCCTGGAACTCCCAGAGCCCAGCTCTGCACCACCTGCTACACGGCCTGTTGTAGGGAAATGGGGAATCTGACCTTCAAGAAATGGGCCAAGGGTTTAACGTGGCTAATGCTGTTTGATGCACAGAAATGGGACTAATGTTCTACTTCTTTGTCTGTGCTTCTTCAAAGTTGTATTACTTCGCTCTTTAGCTTCCCTGCCTTTCAGACAGTCAATAAATGCCATACCTCTGTCAAAATAACATTTAGGATACGGCGAGTTAAATACTTAAATTACTTTAATAATAATTAAATCAATAATTAGTTAACAGTTTAAAACAGATTAGATTTGTTTAATTGCTTTCACTGTTCTTCATGTGACTACTGGGAAATCTGAAACTGAACACAGGGCTCGGTCTCGTGCCCGCTACTGGCTGGACGGCAGCGAGGCGAGGGGAGACAGGGAGCCCTGCGGTTGCTCCGCGTGAAGGTAGATACTCCACCAAGTGATGCTCTGAGCAGCTCACTTTGGCAGCCATGTGAGGGTGGCTGCTGCAGCAGCCATAACAGGAGTCATCGTGACTCCTGTCCTGATGGGGTGGTGACTGCATGGAAGTGGCAAGTGTGGAAGTAAGGATGGGACCGGAACAACAGTGACAGAAACCGTGAGTGGGAGAGGGGTTAGCCGAGAAAGAGGGCGGGAGTCAAAGGCCCAGGGGGAGATGCAGGACACGAAGAACGCCTGCTGCAAAGGGGAGAGAAGTGTCAAGATGGAGACAGTGGCTGAGGCATCCAACACTCAGGTTGCCAAGAAGGGAACTAAAAAGCATCTGCTGGTTTGGAAATTCCACGTTCATTAAAAAGACACAGAGCAGGGAAAAAACTTCAATGATTTAATAATAATTACAGTGGTTCTTATTGGACAACTGGTGAGATACAATGTAACCATGTGCCAGTGTTAAATTTCATATTCCAACACAAAAAACTTCTCTACTTTCTGTATTTTTTAATATAATCATTTGTGGCTATGTAAGAGAATGTTCTTGTTTTGCAGAGATTAATACTGAATTAAGGGGTGCTATGTCTGCAATACTCTCAAATGGTTCAACAAAATTAATAATACAGTAAAACCTCAGTTCTCAAATTTCATTAGTTTCAGAAGGCTGGATAAGAAGTGATTTGTTCGAAAACCAAATCAGCTTTTTCCCATTAGAAATACAGGTTTCAGCAGGAAAGGGTTGTTGGGTCAAGAACCTAAGTTTTATCTGACAACTGAGACGTTTTTCTGTGAACAACTTGTTCAAGATGGGAGACGTTTGAAAACCAAGGTTTGACTATAACAGCGATAATATATATGTAAAGATAAGAGTAAACATGGCGAAGTGTTAATAATTGGTGAACCTCGTGAAGGGTGTCTGTTATACATTCTCAAAACGTTTCTGGGGGTCTGAAATTTAAAAATCAAAGATCAAAAGGGGAAATAAAAAAAGATCCTGGTGGCAGCAGCAAGAGCAGGCCTGCAGGCCAAGAGGGAACAGCCACTGGGCTCAGGGCAGAACACTGCAGGGGCAGCTCCAGGCGCCTTTCCAGGAGTCTGGAGATAAAGGGAAATGACAGAGGAAGATGAAGGGGACAGATGGGGAAGGACTTCTTTGAGCATGAGACCCTGAACACCCTACGGACTGGAAAAGAGCGAGTGGAGTGTACATCCAAGCCGAGAGCATGCACGGGCCAGAGGACAGGTAGTGGAGCAAATGAGGTCCCAGAAGAGGTGACCGACAGAAGGATCAAGAGCAGGTGTTAATGTTAAACAGAAGGGAAAAATCCTCCCTCTGAGAGAGTCACATAGGTCAGAATGGAAATGAACTCAGTAAGCTGGGGTGGAGGCTGGGAGTGAGAAGCTGGAATTTATGACGAAGGTCCTTCCCTTTACGAAATAGGAGGCAAGGGAGTTTGATAAGCATTTAGAACTTAAGGGAAAGGTGAATGTTTCAAAAAGAACCAGGAAACCAAGAAAGATAACCAAACGTGCAAGAATATCAGTAAGAAATGATAGCTTGCACCTGAAACTATTAAAATATTTTATGTTAACTGTAGTTAAAAACAACTTTTCATTAAAAAAAACCACCAACGATAGCTGAGCTAAGACTGATAACCATAATAACCACAGTAATGCGACTGTCTTTGGCAACTGTGGAAATGAACTATGACACTGGGCAGGGGAAACGTGCAGAATCCCAGCTGTGACACTCCTTGTCTGTACCCTTACCAGACTATTACATCATTCTGGGGGAAGACACGACAGCAAAATAGATGGAGGTCACATTACGGAAGGTCCCTGACGTGGCTCCTCTAACTAAAACCAAGGAAGCCCCATTCGAAGAAATGGTTTATTCCCAACCGAGACCCCTGGCTTCCGTGAAGTAAACCTTTGCCAACCACAAAGGGGAATTCCTCTCTAAACTAATAACCCACCAAAGGAGAGAATGCTAACCTTAAAACCGTACGATAGTGAGGTTTAAACGGCGCTTGCAGCTGTCCAGTTTAATAAAACTTGGGTTATCCAGTTTAAGCAAACTTAAGGAGACACACTGTCCTCCCGGGGCCTCCTTCCAAAGCTGCTTCTCCCCGGGAAGGGGAGGGGAAGAGGCTTCCTCTGCTTCTCTCCACGGGACAGAGAAAACTGTGACGTAAGAGTGGTTCTAAACCGTTTCCAATCCCCAGTGCAATGACCGATTCGGGAAAAGAATCATCACTAGGTGCTAAAATCAATGAGTAAAACAAAGGCTTTTGGGAAATAAGAGTATTACATGGTCCCAAACGTATCACCCCACAGAGTGCTTCTTAATCACAAAGAAAAAAAGGCACCTCACAAACAGTAGGTGTGACAGACCTCACTTAAACGAGGGACCAAAAACGGCATCACCGACACTGGACAAACTTAACATCGTGTGCCTTCTGAAATGATGGCAGAAAAGAAGAACACTTCCCACACAGCGTTCCCAGCAGAAACGTTTAACCCCAACCTAATCGTGAGAAAACAAGAAGACAATTTCCCAGAAGACAGGATGTTCTACGTTTGAGGGTCCTAGGCTCTTCAAAAACATTAAGTGTTTTTGAAAGACGGGCAAACAGGGTAGAGGGCACCAGACCCAGGAAGCTAGGAGACGTGCGATCCAAACACAACGTGTGAACCTTGACCTGGTCTCGGATTTAAGAGGCAACTACACGGGACATTTGGGAACAACCGAGAAAATCTGCACATGGGACATTCTACGATACTACTTGCTGCACATAAAAGGTCTCGGTGTGGTAACAGGAGTGGGGTCACGCGGGAGAATGTCCTTGTTGAGATACATACATGCTGAAGTACTTGGCTGTAGTGTCATGTTTTCTGCAGCAAAATGTATGTGATTCAGACACACATACATGCATCTAACACACATGCGTGTAAGGATGCAAACAGTAAGCTATTAAAAACTTTCAAAGACTAGTCATGAAGGTGCCTCTAAGATATCAGTAATGTTTTATTTCTTTATCTGGGTGGTACTTTTACATAGCTGAGTTCATGTTATAATGAATCATTGAGTAATACACTTACAATTTATATATTTCCTATATAGTGAAAAATGTTATTAAAAAATAATGGCTTAAACATCAGTGTTGCACACAAAACCACTGTCAATACTTGTACATGTGAATAAATAGAACAAAATGAAGGAAGGCTTATTCACCTGCGTGAGTGTGCTCCCACCTTCCACCCTCTCAAAAACAGACCGCTGAGCTACGCACCACGGAAGAGCTTCTGGGCGATGTGCAGAGGGTTTCCAAAGCGGAAGTTCTCCCCACTGAACAGGGCCAGGATGAGCTGGCTTTGCTGCTCAATGTCGTCCTCAGGGAAGCGAGGCAGAAACTGCTGGAGGTGTTCGCGCTGAGAGTCACTCAGTACTTCTTCCCACGTGGAGAGGCTGACCACATCAAAGAATATCTCAGGCTGGGAGAATAAGGAAAAGCAGGAAAAAGCAAGTAAGAGGGAAAAAAGGTCTTTAATTCAGTTTTTAGTGTATGAGTGGTAAAATAGACATGACGTAAATTCACCACTTTATCCACTTTTAACTGTACGGTTCAGTGGCATTAAGTACAGTCACAGTTACGCCCCATCAGCACCATCCAAGTTTTAAGTTTCTGACACAAAATGAAATTCTACTGACAGCAAGTCAATTCTCAAAAGTGAAAGATTTGTAAAAACCACATATAAACCAAAGTCTTATACCAAACAGCAAACAGTAATTCACTGGAAAATTATCTCAGTAGAAAGAATACCACTGGGAAACCATTTCTGCCAGAAAGGGACATGATGGCAGAGGTCGGAGTTCAGCTTTAAAGGAGTCACAGGGAAGAGTTAATACGGGAGGATAGACCCTGAGGTGCTGAGGTCACCTGCTAAGTGAGAAGCTGCAGGATGCAGTTCACTTTCAACCCGACAATTACATGCTGGGTGTCTTCCGTGTGCTAGACACTGAGACAGACTAGTACTGCATACATATTGTCTGGATGTGCGAAAAACGAAACACCAATTACCACGCAGTTTAAATAGTTTACCTATAAGCACATAAGAGAAGCATGCATCCCAGACTAAAGGTTTCAGAGAACACCTACCCAAGGAAGTGACATTTTAGATAACAAGGGACAAGGGGGAAAAAAAAGGATGGTGAGGCAAAAGGGTTAAAAATCCAAGAACAATAAGGATTCAGGCAATGTGTGGCTGGCATGCGGACAGGGAAGGAGAGGTGAGGCGAGGCAGCGGACAGCAGAAAGAGGAGCGAAGGCCCTGTAAACAGGTTAAGGACTTGTGACTTTACCCTAAGGTCAACAGAGAGCCTCCGGAGGGTTTAAGCAAGAGACAACTGGAAATCCAACCACCTCTTAGGTGTCTCCATGTGCATGCACCAAAGCGCCTCAGGTTCAGTGTCCAACCTCTTCCCCTACAAACCTACTTTTGCTCCACTTTATTCCTCACATCTCGGAGTCTGGCATAAAGCAGGTTTTCAAAACGAGTGCTTGCTGACTCAATGACATAAGGAGATTTTCTTGAAAGAGTATGCAGAGTAAACACAGGACGACATATACCAACTTTAGTACTTGTTACTTCAAGTGGGAGAGGGACTAAGGTAAGGGCAAAGCAGTGGCTTTAATTTTATCTAAAATTTTTTAAGGATTTTATTTATTTAGTTTTAGAGAGAGAGAAGGAAGAGAAACATCGACTGGCTGCCTCTTGCACACGCCTGACCGGGAACCTGGCCCACAACCCAGGCGTGCGCCCTGAATGGGAATCAAATCAGTGACCTTTCACTGGCCCTGGCTGGTGTAGCTCAGTGGATTGAGCACGGGCCTGCAAACCAAAGTATAGCAGTTCAATTCCCAGTCAGGGCACATGCCTGGGTTGCAGGCCAGTTCTCAGCAAGGGATGCATGAGAGGCAACCATATATTGATATTTCTTTCCCTAACCCTTCCCCTCTAAATAAATAAAATCTTAAAAAAAAAAATCAGTGACCTTTCACTTTGTGGGATGATGCTCAACCCACTGAGCCCCATGGGTCAGGGCTAATTTCATCTAAAATGTTCGATATATTGTGAATGGAAAATCTGAACCAAATATGAGTAAAAAGTTATCTCCTAAAACTGGATGTTGTACAGATGAATGTTTTATGATGCTCTATACCTACCTTATGCTTGAAATACAGCAAAATAAACAAGGTAAATAAATAGGTGTTTTAGCACACCTAGTGCCTTGCACATAAGCACTTAGTCAATGGTAGCCATCTTAATAATAATGCAATTAGAGCCTGCCTGTGAAAGTGGTCAAAGCATGCTGATATGCTACCCCAGGGCACATACTAATAACTGATTAGACCAGAGGGTTACCTTATAGACATAGATAATACATTTGGGTTTGGTTTCTTTTTTCTTTTTTTAATTTGATTTATTTTTAGAGTGAGAGGAAGGGAGGGAGAAAGGGAGAGAAACATCAATGTGTGGTTGCCTCTCACATGGCCCCCACTGGGGGAACTTGGCCTGCAACCCAGGCATGTGCCCTGACTGGGAATCGAACCGGCGACCCTTTGGTTCACAGCCCACGCTCCATCCACTGAGCTACACCAGCCAGGGCTGGGTTTGGTTTCTTGATTCAAAATGTGGGTAACCTTTTTAATGCAAAAATACAAATAATTCTACTCTTAAAACCTAAAACTTCTTAATAATTGCTGAAAATTATCATGTTAAAATTAGGGCTCTATAACATATTACCAAGTTATGCTGAGAGATTATTAATCATGCAGAATGTAGCTTGTGATTTCTTCCTTAACCAGATTATTGAACAGACTCTACACATACACTCAAGACACGAGATCCCTCTGACCGCAATGCAGAAAATGAAACAGAAGAAGCAGAGAAGACTGAGAAGGTTTGTAGTGGCAGCTGTGGGGAAGATGACAGGAGGAGACATTGGTGGGGACACGGCAACTTACATCCTCCAGGAGGTCTTCAGGCAGACTGACCCTGGTGTCCCCCAGGAGGCAGTCCTCCATGATGCGTGTGCCGTGGCCATCTCCACATGGACCCAGTTCCAGGGGGTCTGTCAGCATGTGGTCCAAGGAATCCATTGTTTACGTTCCACGGGTAATCTAGACAAATATACGCAGTCAAACCTTAACAGGGAAAGGCGGAAGTCCCAGGACCTGACTGACACGCGCCTTCAGAAACTGCTCGGGCTCAGAAAGAACTCGATGGCAAATCTACCCCACATCGGATCCTCACACCCTGCTCTTCTCCCTCCCTTCCAACCACCGAACGCTTGTCCGGACTGTCAAACCTGATCAGACCTCTCGTGGTTCAGAACGTGTCTACAGTAACTCCCAAATTTACAGAATTTCTTCTACTTTCATTTCACACATAAGCGAAATGAGCCTCGATAAACAGATCAACAGGGTCCATAATTTAGGAGTTCCCAGGTCAATAACCTCTCCTCTATAACATGATGTCATTTTGTTTTTTGTTCCTTCACAGAAGAAAATTTACTGAAAACCCACACAGACTAATAAATCAGCCACTAACAATAAGTGGCTGATTATTTGGAAGCCTTTTAAGTACTAGGACTTTCTTGTATGTATCTCATTTAACTCTTACAACTGTGTTAGACAGGGTTATTTTATCTATTCTATAGTTATTAAAAGGATCAAAGTAGATAAATAACTTGCCCAATCCCAGAGCTAGGACTGAAGTTCAGGTCTACCTGACTGCAAATGCATTTCCTAACTCTATACACAATACGTCATACATAAAATTCCAATTTAAATCATGAAAAGGGAGCATCTTAATATGACTTCATTAGTCCAAGTAAACTCCCAAGGCTCCAATAAAGTAGTGAGCACCACCTCCAGATGGTCCATCTCGTATTTGTACCCACATAAATGTAATGCTATTTTTCTCTTTTCTGTAATAACTGAACACAGATGGTCACCTTTAGAAAAGTACACATGAGGACATTTCAGAGAGCATTTCATAAAGCTGATGGCGAGAACCAGTCTAAAGCTGAGGCCACGGTCTGCACACACCGAAAAGGAACAAGAGCTTAAACTCCATCACCCTAAGTCTCTACGTCCTATTCCTACTAAACGGGCTAACAGGTGACAGTCAAAATGCCATACTCCTCTACTCTCAGTGACTTTGGCCCAAATCTTACCTCACCAGGTGTCAATGAAGGGTAGTTGGACCAATCCCGGATTCCTGCAATAAATAATCTCTAGATGGGTGACAGTTTATATGGCGTAATATAGTCACGTAACAGTAGTTAATATAATGACTTCTCATTCTGAAACTCTCAAACATAAAGTCTATAAAATGACTACTAAAATAAGCATATTTCCACTAGATTTTTTCAAGTCATCTTGAAGTTTCAGATCTATGTACAATCCAAAAGATAGTGATGATCAAGTCAGTTGGGTGGCCCCCAAGCAACTGTACCCCTTTCAGCCTTGGTGAATTACAATATCCTGGACATTCCCTGTGACTAAGTAACTGAAGCAGGTGAGAAAGCAAGAGACACAAGCGTTAAACAGAAAACAATGAAGAAGCCACCTGATGCTCAGACTAAAGTCCTCCTAAAAGAACGGACAGAACAGGGTCGCGGCTGCAAAGCCAGTGCTCTCTACCCGACTCTTCAGAAGATCACCTACCTCCGCATCACAGCTCTCTCACAAGTGTCTTCAATTTGGGAGATGTGGAGCTAAATTTAATCTTATTTAAGTGGTAACCTTTGTCCTGCTACTATTCTGAACAGACTGTCCAAATACCAAAAGCAGGAGCTGCGAGAAGGTTGGAACCCCGGAAGCCAAGGAGTTCCAAGTCTTGTGGCTTCTGGACCTCTTTTCTACACCAAGCAGACCTCTCCCAACGCCTTTTCCTCTGCACCTGGGCTAACCTTTCCTCCAGGACCCTCCCCCCAAAAGAAGCTAAGCCCTAGGCTCCTTCCGGAGCCACCCCCTACTCCAAATCCGTCGCCAGCGGCCAAGCCTTCCCTAATCAACACCTTCCCAGCCCCAGGCCCGAGTCCCGCCCCTCTAAACTGCACCTCAGCGCCCTAGGCCCCTCCCCCACACCATACCTAACCCTAACCCCCACCCACCCGAGCCACCCAGCTCCTACAGGCCCACTCTCCAGCCTGGAGCCTACCGACGCAGCAACCCTCGGAGACCTAGGCGCTCCCTCCCCCCGCTCCCCAGCAACAACTTAACCCTTTAGCCGGACAGGGCCCGCCCTCACCACTGCCACAGGACTGAGTCTCGAAGCCCGCTGCGCTCCTCGCCCCGCGGGCTCCTGGACGCGCTCGCTCCCGCATAGCGTCTCTGTGCGTGCACGCTCCGGGCTCCGTCGACGGAAAGGGTGGGGCCTGGAAATTGCAGGGGGCGGGGCTGCGCTGGGCGGGGCCTGGAGTGTCGCGGCGCAGGGCGGGGCCAGAGGGTACCCTCGGGGAGTGGGCGGAAGATCGACCAGCTAGAGCTCTAGCGGGTGTAGGTTAAGGGATGCAATTTGCAATTGGCCTTAAGGTCTCACCAGGTTTATGTTTCCGGAGATTAAAGACAGTGTCGGTAGTTTTTACCTGGCAGGGAACTGAGGCTCCAAAACCCGAGTGACTGAATGCAATTTTATTAGGTGAGGTTTGCAGAGAGCATACCCCGCTCCAGACACCGTGCTAAGCAATTTCTGTCCACTATCTTTGTACTACAGCTGTATTTTTTTTAGTACTGTGCACTATTAGTTTCTATTTTATAGTTGAGGAAACAGCGGTTTCTCGAGTTTCATTGAGGAGTACGCGGACTCCAGCCTAAACCCCAGTATGTCCCCATTTCTCTCTCCGGCCCCGGGCCCTAGATGTTCTAAAAAGTGCATACAACGAAGAAATAGTTTTAACTAAACTGAATACATTCCTCAAGTCCCTTTCTTCATATTCACTGGCTCTTAGAACGGCTTCAGACAGCACAGCGACTCGCACGAGTGGTGCAGAGATCCTCCTGTTCTTGAATTGTATGCACCTACGTCAGAGAAGCTGGAGGGCCCCCTAAATGTCCCTCCCTTGATGGGAAATAGTGGCTTTTTAATAAAGCCCCGTCTCTGCTCCCCTGCTGGCTGCCAGCCTGCTCTTAGTTCCTGTTAGAAAGTTGGTAGGCTCTGGAACTAGAAACCACCAAGTGAATGAGCAGAAGAACATCATTCCACAGTCATCATCCATAAATTCTCTCACCTGGAGTCTCTAATCAGACTAGAGTGAATATAGCCAAAACGCTGTAGGTTCCAATAGTGAGAAATGAACAATCTCAGTAGCTCTTGCAGCTTCACACATACTAACAAGGAAGAAGTTTATTTAAAAAAATATTTATTAATTTTTACACCTGCTGAGTAGCACAAGACTATTAACACTATAACTCACTGAATGTACATTAAATGTTCACATTTAAATAACAGGATAGGGTCAACATTTTCAACTCATGGGTCAGCTACCTTTAGCATCTCATGAAGTGCTTTTTGCCCTAAGTGTTTTTCAAAGGATAATTGGAAATCAGAAAACAATTCAAGATCAAAACAATAGCTTTCTCCAGAGTTAACAGTTTTTCATGATAAAATGTCTATTATGTGGGCACAAATCAAACAATAAAAATGTTAAATCTGTATGTAACTCCAAAATTTTCACACTGCACTGACTGCAGTCTACAGTGTCAATGTGTCTTAAGAAAGGAAACCATATAAACATTGGCTGCATACATTTTCCCCCCCAAATTGGGTCTTCAGGTGGCTTATAATCTGCCATCTCTTCAAATCCAAGTCCTTCCGAAAATCGATTCCCTTGGACACATGTGAAGAATACCTGATCTTAAAGCAGTGTCATTTGGCTTGATTGCCACGTGCATCTCTGGTTGATAACATACCAATCGGTTTTAGAGTCTCTACTTCTTCCACATAAGAACAAAAAGAAAGAAAAAAAAACCTCGTACAGGAAGGAGACAAAGAGGTCCTTCCACATGTCCTTCTGTGTGTTTTAAAATTTGAAATAACTGGCATAAAATGAACATTCCATTCAGTGATAGTTTTCTATTTTAATCAATGTTGCTCCTGAGGGGAGGGGAGGTACCTTGCTAATTCAAATTAAAAAGGACCCAAGAGAGCCAAATTTAAGGTATAAAAACTAAACTGGATCTTTGTGAAAGTCTAGTATTCTTCACCTAGCAAGTCTTTCTAAACTGGACCCTAGGTAATTTACAGTCATTACAATGTGGGACTTGTTGACCCAGAGTCAGTATTTTCTATTAAAAACACTGACATTACCTCTTTGTTACTAAAGACATAGAGTCCATTTTCAGTTTCTACACATTTCCCTTTCTCATCTTCTCTTGGGGCCCAAATTTTCAGGATAACTAAATGAATGAGGTCTCAGAAATAAAGTGCAAAATCTACATATTAGTAAAGTTATTTCAATAGAATTGTTTACTTTTCAGAAAGGTTATCTTTACCATAAAGAAGCTACTATCCTTAATTTATAGAACCAGTTTTTACCCAGAAATGTAAATAAAATAAATTAGTGACTTCATTGGAAATTTAAGTTAGGTCTTTCTGTCCTGAAGTGATAAATTCTACCATCAGTAATTATTCTAAAAGTGTGTTAATATATCACAAAAAGTTGTTAAAATACATACTGATCTCTGCAATGTTTTATGTGAACAATTGGAATGTACAGTAAAAAGGAGGAAAATGTTTTCCCCCATTGAATTCATAGCTCTCAAAGAGGAATACATATAAGCAAAACTATCACTGAGGCAGATTTTTTTCCTTTCCCTACTAACAGTGTAATATTTATAAGGATTGGATTTCTTCCAGATCCTTTAATGCAGAGATTTTCAACTGGTGTGCCACAAGAAGTATTAAAACATGCAATACCTGACTATGTAGTCTGGGACACTGATCTTTTTCCCCTTAGGCTGTCAAATTAAAAAATGACAACAGCCAACACAACAGTAGCCGTCTGGTGCAAATGCCCTGTCTTGAACCATAAATATACATACAGGTCATATAATAATGAGTTGTAGCTTATTGGTCATGTTGCATAATAAGGTTGCATCTTATTGGCTAATTCTTGGTACTAGAAATCCTTATATACAATTCTAGGCACCTGATTTTTTAAAAAGTCACTTTGGAGCAAAAAGTGTAGGTAATTACTTTTTTTGTAGTAAGTCAATCAAAATTATACCAATTTTTGCCAATTTGGCAAAATATATATTTTTTGGTGTGCCACAGAATTTTAGTAATTAATTTACGTGTGCCATGAGATGAAAAAGGTTGAAAATCACTGCCTTAACATACTGTAAATGGTCCCCACACTCTTATTTTCCCCTACGTGTGAAGCTGGTCACACGAAAAGGTCCAGATGAGTTGTAGTATGTTTACGGTAAAAGTGGTAAGAAATAAGGAGGACCACTTTGCCGTCCAATCCTGAAGAATGTTCATTTTAAGAAAGCATCAGAAATCCTAAAAGACACTGAACGCTGTGAGTGAGGACTGAATGTACACCTGGGGAGAGAAAGGAATTCATCCTTTACCGATGACTGGTGAATGGGTCCTGCAAGGCAGGCAAGGTTTCAGTGCTTTTTACTTCATATATACACATGTTGTCTCAGTAATTTGACTTGGTACCGACATCACCAATATCTCCTATACCACCACCCCAGAGAAGGGTTGGCAAAGCTTTTACAGTAGGAGTTTCAATTTGGCTGACATCAAGCAGCCTTTTCTCGCACAGGGAGACCACCGTGTGGAACAGTGAAGTGAAATCTCGCAGAACATGGCATTCTGACCTGCTGAGGGCCAGTGCCTGTATTACCAACAGCCTAACATGATTTTTTGCATTAAAAAAGGCAAGTTTGTTTTTTTTTAAAATCATCAATAAGAGAAATTTAGATGGCAGTTTTTCTCCAGAGCATCACTATCAACCCTGTGTCTCATCACTGTTCTCTTCATACTCAGGAGACTCCCTTTGTTAAATCACGACAAACTCAGAAGGGGAAGCAGTTCCGACCTCACACGTGCCCAAAAATGCCCCTTCTCCTTTGGTGCCACAGCTTGGAATAAAGTCCAGTGGCTATGGACTTGTCACATCCTTTCTCCACCTTTGGTACAAACATAATACACCACTTCATAGTTCCACAAAGGAAAAGTAAGGCTTATCAATGTGTTAAAAAAAAAAAAAGAACCTCAAGAGCAAGGTGAAGTTTCTCCATCTTGAAATCTACTCTCCACTGAAAGATCTCCATTCTATGACAGAAACTTCTAGAGTTTGAAGAGTCCTTTTGGTGAAGATGACTTTGATAAAATAAGCCCCTGTGGCTGTATGAGCGTCAAAACAGTTACCTCCAAACTCTTGAGTGAATGATAAATCTTTAAAAAGAGTTCTAAGTGTCAGAAGCTTTCCAATTTACGAATGAGGGAAGACATGATGTGACTGCTTGATTCCAGCTGGAGGACAGAAATTAAGGTTTGGTGATGTGCACTTCCCTGCCCCCGCTGCCGCTGGTGGTGGTCGTGATGATGTACTGCGTGGCCTGCTGAGGGCTGCTGGTCTGGGGGTCCAAGTCACTGTGCGTAGTTGGCTGAGCCTGGACTCCCCCAGAGAGGGCGGAGGCTTGCTTGTCCTCCATTTCTGGTTGGCTCTCTGATAACACATAATGACCCTGGAGCAGGAAGAAAGGTCTTTAGAAATCAGGCCTAAGGGGGAACAGGGGGTCTAGAAGCAGAAACAGGGAGCATGTAAAGGAATATCACAAGGGGAAGCTAAAATAGGCACCTGTGGGAGATGCCTTATCAAAGTGTTTTAGAGGGAATGGACCAATCACAGTAATTGACTACAAAGGTAATTTAAGGGACGACCTTAGTTGTCCTACTGAAACATATAGTGAAGAACATCATATAGAAATTTGCATCATGACAGTAACCTACAGGGCAAAAGAAACATTTGCTATTGTGCTACTCCTCAGAATTTAGCTTCCT